AACATTTGTTGGTGTCAAAAAATACACAGTCAATTAAAAACGAAAAAAAAAAAAAAAAAAAAACTATTTCTGAGAGTTTTTGCTCCGACGAGGACTGTTTTTTGTCGAAACCTTACCCTCATTTAGACTCGAGCTCTTCGATTTACGTCAAATTTTCCCCCGATATTCACCGTGTTAACCGTACACAAAAAAAAAGAGAAAAAAAATCACCTAAGTGCGTCAATATTTAAAGAATAAATTAACACCGAGAACATCCGCCGATTTCGCTTACAAATCCAGAAAATCTACAGCCTACAAAAAAAAAAAAAAACTTTTTTTTTTTTTTTTTTTTTTTATGTTTGTCTCACAAATCTGCAGCTGTTCCAACTTTTGAGGTAAAGGATATCGCTCAGCAGTACGCCTAGCTCATGCATAAAAAAACCGAGAGCGATTCAGCAAGGCTCGAAACCACCGCAAAATAAATAAAAGAAAGCGCATGCCAGCAGGAATTACTTTTTATCAGTGTTGGGTAAAGTACATCTAAAATGTACTTGAAGTGAATGAAGTGCATGAAAGGTTATGTGTAGTGAGTACACCGGGTGCAGTGTACTTGAAGTAAAGTACTAAAATGAAGTGTACTTTCAGAGTAAAGTGCAAATACTTTTTGATGCCCTTTCACTAGACATGCGGCGAACTTTTTGCGAACCTTATGCTCGAAGATCGAACCAAGAAGGTCGAAAGGTTCGCAAAGTTTCGAAACGTCGACCTTATTACATAAAATATCGACGGTTTTCGAACTTTCGAATTTCGGGCGTCGAGAATGTCGATTGTTTTCGAACTTACATTTTTTGTGCTATGAAAATCAACAGTTTTAAACTTGCTACGCTAAGATATTCGACGATTTTCGAACTTACGGACCTGCAAAATTCTAAAGTTCGACGAACTTCAAACTTCTGAACAAATATTCGACAAAGTTCGAATTAAGTTCACCCCGTATAGGTTCGAGGCAACAAATATAAACAACGCAAGTTGTCAATGCGTGAAGTTTAGTTGAAATTGCACTCAGAGCCTTACCGTTAGCTGATCGTGCTACAAAACGACGCGCTTGTAAAGCGCTGAATGATCACTAGGGGGTGGCCTCGGCCTCGTACCTCACATCTTTTTCTTTCGACTTCCGCCCAGAGCTTTTCCATCGCACAGCTCCGTAGGTTGCCGCGAGGTAACCTGCAGGCCAACGGATCCCTGGTCTGCAGCCTTGAAATTCGGGAAAACACTCGCTGAAGACGTTACCGTCAGGGTTTTCACAAGTTTATTTCACTCTTGTGTTTCCTCTATTATTCAATTTTCACATATTACTTTTCATAGTCTTGACCACTGCGGGGTGCTTCGCTGGGAACGTCCTTCAAAGCATTAGTTGTTTTTGACCGCAAGCCAAGGAAAGGCGCGCGCGGAGAGCGACACCGATGCGTTACACCGAACGCCGAATCGGCGCTTACTTCATTATCGTCGTTAGTAACCTAACCGGCTGCATTTTAGAGCGGCCAATATCTAAATTCGTCGAAGAATAAAAGATCCAGGCAGCGGTAATATGGTTAGCCCGATAACAACCGGGCCTGACCTGATCAGCTGTATTAGGCCGGGTGGTCCCCTAATTTAGTCAGGTTGCATACTCCTCAACCCTGACTTGTGTCGGGTGCTGTGTTCAGTGTCTTCTCCATCCCACGGGTCATCTTGCCGAAAATAAACGCCCGGAGCAGCTGAAAACTATCAGGAAGCGAAAGCCTTTATGTCAATGCGTTGTCCTGCACATTCATAGTTGTCTTATGCCAGCATTGCATTTAGGCGACGTGTGATCGGATTGCTACTATTTCGCAAATATGTAGGAAGTAGTTCACCTGAGCGCCTCGTGGCTTTTCGATGAACCGTTTCAACCAGTTCAGCGGTTGTTTCATCAGTTACGACAAATAACTATAGTAATTCAGGTAGTGCCATCAGAAACACCGAATTGAGAAGGAAGTAGCATTAATGGGGGGGGGGGGGGGGGGGGGGGGGCATTAACGAACAAAATGTGAGGGCACAAGTGAGCTGGTGTAAGCTCATAATAGTCTCGGGTAATTCTACAATTATGAAGGATTCACGGCATCAGAGAAATGAGCAACGTTTTTGTTAAAATTTGTAGCACATTTCGCGATGTTTTTTGAGATGAATTCATAAAAACTTAGTTTGAAACTGCGGACTTTGATTTCCATCCGTGAAATTGAGACTCTGAACTTAAAATCGAAAATTTCGACCTCTTCGACCTTGTGCCTCGAAAAATTCACAATATTAGATTTTTTCGAATTTGATTCTTAAATAAAATCGAATGTTCGAATATTTCGAACTACCTATAAAAATAAATTCGACATCTTCGCACTCGAACTTTTGGAAACCTTGAAATTTTCGAATTATTCGAATTCGAACCTCAGCGGGCTTCTAAATTTGCGAACTTTTCCAATTCGAACCTTAGCAAGGTTAGCACATTTTGAGCCTTTCGAAACCGAACTTCGGGAGGGTCCGCGGCATCCCTACCTTTCATGCCCCTATACAGTGTTTTTCTAAAACTGGCATGCATTGCCCAAGAGGTAATTTTGGGTGTACCCGTTATTTTCGGAGATGGCGGCGAATATTAGATAATGTCAAATGGCCACAGAGTATTTGTATTAGTGTCGCTGACAAGCTATTTCTCACAACCAGTTTATAAGGCACTTATTTGTATCGGTCTTATAGCTGCCATTAGTTCACTCAGAGAAATAACCAGGTGGGCGATGCGTCGTCTGGCCCCGTTTCTGATAAAAGTAGAATATCTTCCGCAGTATTTCTTCAAGGTTAACAAGTCGGAAGTCTTACATTCCTCGGAAAGTACCCGAAAAAAATGTTTTAATTAAAGTATAGGTGCATACCCAGAGAATGTACTTTAAGTAAAGTACAGGTTTTCTAAACGTATACTTGAAGTAGTACTTGTAAGTACAATGTACTCAAATTACTTCCCAACACTGCTTTTCCCAGTGATTAAAGTGAGCTCGTTTGTTTCAGCATAGTTTCTCAAACGAGGGCAAAGCTTGGACATCTCTACTCTCGGTTTTGGCTCAATGTCTAGCTGTTTTTCTTTTTTTTTTTTTTCTCTCTCTCTCTCTCTCTTATGTTACGGCATAAAAGCAAACTTCACTTCTTTTTTTTTTTTTTCCGAAGTTTCGAGTTGTTTTGTGATTCCCCGCTGAATCTGTCGCGAATCAGCATTGGGCAAGCGGCACATTGTTTGGGAAACATGAGATCATGTCATACCGTTTTGTTGTTGTATATTTGCAGTAATTCCTACAAAACGACAACGAGAGCACCGCTTTTGACGTATCTTGATTTTATGATGCATAAAAACACGATTTTATAAATTTATTTTACTTAAAAAAAAAAAAAAAAAAAAAAGTTCTCCCCGTCGGGGAATCGAACCCCGGTCTCCCGCGTGACAGGCGGGGATACTGACCACTATACTAACGAGGAAGACGGAAACTGTAGAATTAAAGATCGCACAAAAGTGTGTGTTAAAATTAACCAATTTGTTTTTCATGTTATCTTTTTTTTAATTGCCTTTAGTACGATCTCGGCACAAACTAAAGTTCCGCAAAAATGACGTCATACCAGAAGTCATCTATTTCGCTTATCCAGTCACAAGTTTCACAAATCGTAGGTATCTTTTTACTTGTAGAAATAAATGAACTGCGTAACGGACGAGGACTGCGTAACGGACGAGGACGTCCGTTACGCAGTTCATTTATTTCTACAAATCATGAACCAACTAGCCCGCCAAAAGGTGTTACTTGAATCTTTTTACTCCACGTGAAAGTAGCGGCAGTTGCTCTCACCACTGCTAAGCTTTACCTCGGTCGCTTTTTATCGTTGTTATCCGAATTTTTCTTATTAGTAGCGCAGAGGCTGACCGCGATAATACCGGGTGAAACAAGGAGACGGTAGGCTCTTTAAATCGACCGGAAAATTCGGTTTCTTAACCTATCGCGTTACGACTTTGTGCAGCGTTGCCCACAGATGGTGCATTTTTTTTCGTAGAATTTGCAAAGAGCGAACTTACCTGGGGAAAAAGTAAAGAAAGAAAAAGGCTTAGCTCCTATGGAAACGCAGCGACGCCTCCGGTCTGCAAACAAAACGGCGCCGCTTCGCACGGGAGACAAGAGATGGCGCAACGAACGCCGCAACGAACGATCATACGGCGCCGAGAGCAGGCCTTTTTAGCAGACGATCTTCTCGACTCAAAAGCGGAGCGCGTTCCGTAGGCGGCGACAGTCGCAGAAACAAAAAAGACAGGCGCGGTAACAGCAAGGAACTGCAGTTTCTTGTCTGCAAAAGGGCCGACTCTCGGCGTCGTCTGCCCGTTCGTTGGCGGCAGATGGGGGTCGCGACCGCTTGCGCCATCTCTTGTCTCCCGTGCGAAGCGGCGCCGTTTTATTTGCAGACCGGAGGCGTCGCTGCGTTTCCATAGGAGCTAAGCCTTTTTCTTTCTTTACTTTTTCCTCAGGTAAGTTCGCTCTTTGCAAATTTTACGAAAAAAATGCACCATCTGTGGGCAACGCTGCACAAAGTCGTTGCGCGATAGGTTAAGAAACCGAATTTTCTGGTCGATCTAAAGAGCCTACCGTCTCCTTGTTTCACCCGGTAGTGCTGAACAGGTTATCTGAGGGTCTGAAAGAAAGCAGTAATAGGTTATGGTGAAAAAAAACAAAACAAAAAAAAAAATAATTTTGACCAGGGACAAAAATTGGACGACACACCAACATGGTATTATGTTATCCAGTTCTTGTCCCTAGTCGCAAGTTATCTTTTTTCTCAATTCGTCAGCTCGCCTGCGCAGTAACCCGACTTTCAGCAATGCTATGTCACCACCTCCGGACTAAATGTATTTCTGAAGCCAGAATCCGTTCTCTTATAACAGTAGTGCTGCATACGATATGATCTGTTATTTGAATTCGTTTATGCGGGGCGCCGGTGCATTACGACAACCAACTGCCCCAGCTCTAAAAATTATACATTCAGAATCTCTTGATGGCGATTCTGTGCACTGCACGAAGTGCAATGCATGGCAGCGACGCCAAATGCCCTTTTAGTCAACGACGGTACAAATATTTATTCTTATACCACGATCATGTACGTCTCTGCCGCGGTGAGGGATTGAATAAATAATAAAGAAAAACATTACTGTTCGCGTCAAAATAGTTTCTGTGAATGTATTATAAATAGTGAAGCGCAAAGAGACCTATCTCTTTGTTTAAAGATGATTACAACGATAAGAAAACGCATCAGCTAATTAAATGAGTAAACATTTTCTAGATACCGCAAGTGCCTAAGATATAGTTCTCTTAACTGTGGTTAGGAGACGCCACGTTGTGGGGTTTGTGCTGCCATCTGTGCGAAAGTTTTTTAAGTGTTCGTATTCGCGACATTCGCGAATATGTTCGAGAGCATTTCCACGATCAAGCGCTAGGATCGCGACATCCGACAGCATGTGCTGCACGACATTCCGGCTTTTTCGACGTCATTTGTTGCCCCTTGGGCACCACTTTTGATGTATGGTTTACGGCTAAACACACCAGTCAGAGACGCGCTCCAGGCGCTCCAGGCACCGGACCAGTCTCAAACGGCATGTTCGTACTCGTTGCTCTTTGCTGGTGCGTCGCAACGTACGTGTCCGGTGTGCAAATATCAAAGACTACTAACGGTTGCCCGTTTGTTGTTTGCGTTGGCATGGCCTATGCTGTGCTATGCTTGAAGCAAATGTTTACGGATCCGTAGCTAGGCCAGCAAGCTGGGAAAGCCTGCACCCACGATATTTTAGATTTCTTTTTGTAACTGCATCTCCTACAAGAACACAGTAAAAAATAAGAATAAAAGTTATGAGTGGATTTCGGAGTTTTGTTAAAAAGTCAAACGGTCAAACTTTTAAAAGGTGAGCAAGACCTGTCTTGTAAAAAATTCAAAACCCCCTTATATATATAAAAAAAAGAAAAAAAAAGTTTTTAGTGGTGTAGCAGCTATGGACTTCACAGAGACGAGCATAGCTAAGCAAAAGCTTTTAGTAATATTGAAAAAAAAAATTGTGATTTTGGTGAAATTAAGTTAAAATACCAACGACAAACTTCGGATCGTCTGTTACTGATCCTTGAAGATTAGTCATCGTGGTTATCGTTATTAATATTATTACTATTAAAAATGATAACGCCTTTGCGTTATCTTGTCTGCAAAACAGCCCGGTTCTCTCAGAATTCCGGAGTTTAATTACTGATATTTGATTAATTTAAAAGGACCGTTTAATATTGCCGGGCGAAAACAAATAATATTGACCCGCCGTTTACAAAGGAGCAGAAGTTGGCAAAGTCACGAAATTTGCTGCTCTCCGATTGGACGAGCCTGAAATGAACTCGTTTACCCGCCATTTTGAATACGACCTACGACAGGAGCTCAGAATCACCATGTCGGATTCGGAAGGCACTCCGCACGAAAACAACGTCAAAGACGTAAGTCATACTCGTCGAAAACGATGCTTACTTTCGAAAGGGAGCAAAGTCGGACGTCTGTCTCGCACGTAGCTTGTTGACAGCGTCGGAATCGTCCGTTCGCGGGCCATCGCCGTAGGTTTTTTTGGCGCTAGCAGCTAGGACTAGATCCCGTTGAAAACAATGGGAAAAGGCAGCGCGCGGGCCGCTTGTTTAGGCCTAACGCGGGCATGGCTTTCGCCAGCTTCGTCGCTGTACTTGGCGATTTGCGGCTCCAGTTTGGTGTGGACGAGCGTACGAATTCATTAAAACTTTTCCGCGGTTCTTACGAACCAAATTTGCACGGGGTTTTTAAGCGAGGTCGCGCCTAAAGTATCGAGAAACCAAGTTGCCGGCTCGCGCGACGTTGCGAGTCCGCCGTGGGGGGTTTCCTCGCTTCACGTTCTCCTGACGGTATTCACTCGACTCGGACTAACTGTGGTTCAACTCTTCGGTTTCGATGCGGGAATGAACGCATTTTAACGCGTGCGTAACTTTCGAGCTCGTGTTCGCGGTTGTCCGGTTTGAACCGCATTTCGTGCGGCGTTACAAGTCCACGGGTTGATTGACATGCGCTGCGTACCGGACGAAGGTTGCCGTTGCGCAAGGTGCCTGAGCGTCAAGTCTCATATTTGGGCAATTTATACCGTCGTTGATATCGGTGTTCGTTCGTGGTTAATTAGTAAGCTTATCTCAGTATAAGTTACTTGCGCAGACAGTTCAATCGTCTTTTTTTTTTTTTTGAGGGGGGGGGGGGGGCTGTGCTGTCCACACCTGATGGTACTGTATACATAAAAAATGTTGACATTCAAAAGTAGAAAGAGATTAAGCACGGCAGCATTACAGCGTGCCATACAAGGTGCGCAGTATCCTCCGTTGTGCACCCGCACATAAGAACAAGGCAAATTTTTTCCTGGTATTCTGCGTGAAATAGAAACATGTTCTCTACTTGGGGGAGCAGATAAGCCGCCTATTTATTACCCCTTTGTCGCAGATTTTTTTTCTGTAAGTGGAGAGCCTTGTCGTATGTTACCGTGTGTAGATTAAAATTAATGTGGCAAACACTTCGTAAACTTTTGTACACTGAACAGGCGTAGCGTAAACAGTGACATATTGTGGTTAATGTGGTATGAGTAACTTGTGGAGATGCTGAGAGAAAAGGGCACCGCTTGCAATGAAACACTGTCTTGTTTGTTGAGTACAATCTTTTTACTAGACGCTGGGCAAGTAAAAAAGATGATCCCTTCTGAAACGCAGCAACTATGGTCGACAGACGTCCATGCTTTCTGCTACTTATAACTTGGCACATCTCTTTGTTCTCTGTGTTGTGTACTCTTGATCAAATCTCGTCGAACACTCCCCAATGCCAGATGTGCTCAGACAATAGCAAATGACCACATCTTTGTTTCTACATTTTGTTGCACAAAATGCAACTGCTACAAGTACATTTTGTGAGACTTTTACGGGTAATGCTGTGGGGCTCTACCTGCATTATTTTTTTATAGATAAACGTCCTCATCGGCAGGGTTGCCAGGAAGTTGTCACTTCCCGACACGCATGCACATTTAGTCTACATGACGCAAATTTTGGATGTAATAAGCCATAAACAGCTGTACTCATCCTCACTGATGTGAAGCCGTGACAGCAGTTCTCAAAACTCTGAAAAGCTGCCAGCGGCGGCATTTTGTGGCGGCGAGCTTTACAGGTTCCTACAAGTCAGCGATTTAGCTTGCAGCTTTCTGTTAAAGGTAACGTGAAGAGAGAGTGGGATAATGGTTACGGCAGGCTGTCTTGCATCGCTATTACGAAGTGCTTAGATGCGGGGACTACGCAGATGATGCAAGTAGCCGAGAGATTTTTTTTTAATTTCGGGCAGAAGCTGGGAGAGTGGATAGTTGTACTTTTAAGCAGAGTAGTTGCATCCCGTGGATGTCGAGCAAATTAAATCTCGCATTCTGTGGCGACAAGGATTTATGTGCAATTGACTCGTCTGCTTTTTTCTTTGCTGGAACAACATGTTGAGTGCGACGAAAAATATAACAATGATTGTAAGCGTGTTCGAATGTTTTAACCAGGCTGTTCCCAAGCAAGCTGATTTGATGGGGCGGTGCAAACTGCGCTCGTTGAACTGGTCAATTGTCGGTTCTGCACCGTGTAATCACACTTCTTGCTCATACTACTACGCGTAGCATAGGGTGGGGTGACAAATGGCGGGCAATTGGGGAGGACAGACCGTGACGCCCCAAGCGGTTAACTTAACAACTACACGGATGGGGACAACAAATACAATGACGCAGCGCTCGGCCGACAGAACCGAACGCGGCGTCAGCGTTCGGCTGGAGTTCGTGCTCTCCAGCGAGGGGGAGGAGGGGCTCTTTTGTTTCCACAACGGCCTGCATGAACAATGCAGCATGCACGATCCTAGCTTAGCACAAAAGCCGAAGTGGGTCAAGCTCCCATTCTCTGAGGATAGATCCGGCACTTAACGTCGCTTCGTTGATTGTTAGATTTTTTACATTAAAATGTGCCCCGCGCTCTATTGTAGAAGATGACATGCCCATAAGGCCTGTCGGCATGTGCACAGGCCTTGTTTTGAGTAAACACCGAGCGTGGGGAAAACAAACGGGTCAGAGCGCCCCCTATAGTTCGATCTCCTGCCCAATAGATTGGCACGGCGAGGATGAAGTTTCTACCGCCTATACAGCTTGGTGGAAAACGTAATATGGTCATTTCCTAGAGACCGAAAGATAAGGAGGACAGAAGGAGAGGTGCAACAAATACTTAAGCGTCCGTGGGACACCTTGTTTGTGCGATGCAAGCATTTCGGCCTCTGCAGAACCCTCCTTTACTTCTGAAACAAGAAGCCTTTCGTTCCACAAGGTGCAACTGCATTGTGATCTGTTTCACAACCCGGATTTGGTGTACATGCCAGTCGGGTGCAAGCAGTTGTGCGAGTGTTTACCGTATGGCCATGACTATTTCGACGTCTGTGACATTGCTTCCGTAAGATGTCAAACTAGTGGCTTTATTATTTCGACGTCCCACTTCACTACAGCTGTCGCAGTGGTAGCCATTTCGTTCTGTTTAGTTTCTGATGGTGTTGTGTTGACGTTTTGACGGATTCATGTGTTGCATTTCTTAGAAGTTACGGTTCTAGTTGGCAGTGGAAATCTCTTATTCAGCGTGTGAGTGGGACTGGCTCGGCAATTGATCCTTTCGGACACAACACGCCTAGCAGCGATGTTCTGAGCGTTCTGAGCTTGCATGTCATTTTGGCACGCGTCTCACTTAAAATTTTGAATCTACAACAAGGGCGAGCTGTCTTGCCTGCACGTAACAAATGTAAGTGCTACGTAACACTGAGAAATGTGGCACACTTGTTGTGATCAGTGTACTACGTAACACTGAGAAATGCAGCACGCTTTTTGTGCCTCCATATTGTGCGAGCGCCTTCTTATGGTCGCAGTCTCGCTTTGCGTCTGGCTCCTCCCTGTTTTTAACCGTGTTTCACGAGTTGTTTAGTTTAGATTTAGAGTTTAGTTCATGTATAACGAGCGGCTTAACTTTGAAACGATCGGGATGTTGAATAAAAGGTTGTGAACGAAAAAATCTCTTCTTGATGTTTCTTGACCGGTGCAAATGAACAAAAGTCTTGGTGCGGTTGTACGAAGTGCACACATTTTCCAATCAACTGCAAATTTTATGATGCGACATACCGCTCTCTTGTCTATATAAAACAAAATAAATCATGAAAAGCAGCGGTGCCACACTCTGTAAAGTTAAAGGACACATGCAAAGGAAAAAAACATTTTTTTTTAAACGGCTTAGATGGAAAAAGGATGCCATAAAACGATTTTACAATGAAGAAAAAAAAATTTTAGAGCTATATTTACAGCGCCAAACGAATTTGAAGTTGGCGCCTGCGGGCACCACGGAAAAGTGGTCCGTATTTATCATGTGACTGGTCCTTATTTATCACGTGGTGCTTGCGTTCTTTCGGAAGCTTCCTATGGCCTCTAAAAGTAACTTATTCATCTTTGTTTGAAGTATAACAAAAAACTAAGATGAATAAGTAACTTTTAGAGCCCAAAGGAAACTCCTTAAAAAGGCGCAAGCAGATATGATAGACCTGTGCGCCGGTCAGACGACGGCGGCGGCACCCCGAAGCAGGCGAACTTGTGCGGCGGCAGCGTGGAGAAAGGCGTTGAAGCGGTGTTCGAACAACGCTCAGCGTGCGGCGGCGACGCAGTGCGGCGTCGCGCGGGCCTACCACGTGATCAGCGGCGGCTCCCGCGAGCGCCAACTACAAATTCGTATAGCGCCGTAAATATAGCTCTAATAAATTTTTTTCTTCGTTGTAAAATCGTTTTATGACATCCTTTTTCCATCTAAGCTGTCTAAAAAAAATGTTTTCTTCCTTTGCATGTGTCCTTTAAGGGGTATTCACACGAGGGAGAAATCCCGGGGATTTCTCCCCGGCACGCGCATCCCACGACGAAAACGTCGGGCTTTGCGATGTGCAAAAGCCTCGCGTTTTCATCTCGTGATGCGCGCGTGCCGGGGAGAAATCCCCGGGATTTCTCCCTCGTGTGAATACCCCTTTAAGCACAACCAATAAAACGTTTAGTGTGCCTGATAAGTAATGTACTTTAAGAAGTTCTTTTTTTTGCATTTTACATTACTTGGAAGGTCATACAAACTGCAGTCGGTTGCACATTTGTTTTCAGAAAATTTGTGTTGAACCGCGCCGCCGCCTGCAAGCTAGATGATATTGGTTTGACTGCCACTTTCTATCACTTTAGTACAAGCTCCAAAGCCCCAAATTTCTAAGTTTGAGATGTCAAGATAAGGAAATATTTCAGCGGGGGACAAAAAGTGGCATCGCGGGCGTAAAAATAATATTAAGAATTAATTTGAAATTGGGCGTTAAAATAGTCTCTGCCTTACCGGATGGTACACTAAGGGCATGCTTTGAGCTAGGTACAGCGTCCCCCCTGCTCCGTTCACCCCTAAGCTGACAGCGTGGTGGGAGCTGTGCGCTCGCCGGGTATGAATGCATATGGACAGGAGCGTTATCGCGTGGCAAAAGATAGATGTACAGCGGGTCCAACATACCTTCTATTGCCCCTTCCAGCTTGGTGGTGAATGGGGTATAGACTTTCCGTTTAATCTCGTCCCCAGTTACATAGTTTGTGTATACAATATGGGCGACGAAAAAAAAAGACGTTAGTACTTGAATTTAGTAAAAAAAATATAAAAAGAGGCAAGACAAGAACAGTGGCAGTCGCTAATAAACCGTCAACGCTTCCTAGTTGCGTGGCAAGAGCAAAACAGTACTCTCCCCTGACCGGAAGTTCCGTAGTTTGAGGTGGCAAAGCCTGCATGGGAACTGTTTATTGGCAAGAAGATCAAAGTATAGGGGCTTATTTTTTTATTTTTGTCCGTATTTTTTTTTTTTTTTTTTACAGAGCTCGGTGTTTAGCCAACTAATGGCCCGTAGACTGGATTACTGGCATTGTCTTGACTGCATTTGACTTTGACTCGTGTTTGATTGGCGCTTTACTTATCCAACACAAGTCGCAGTCTAACTATAACACAGGGTCCACGTCGGCCGAGCGCAGCGTCAGAAACGCAGACAGATAACTCGCGTCGGCGTCCCTGTCGGTCTGGTTCTCGAGTTCGTTCACACTAGCACAACGGTTGTTTCGCTTCTCCGGTAGTTGCCGGAAGGTGTGAACTACGAGCATCACTGAAGCGACGTTTGGTCGGGTTTTTCCTTGCAGCACGCCGAGGAGAACGATGCGGGGTCAACGGAGGCCGTGAAGCCCGCCGCCAAGAAGGGGGTGGGCCGCGCCAAGGAGTCCAAGGCCAAGGAGGAGAAGAAGCCGGAGACGGACGAGGGCAGCGAGGAAGGGGACAGCGGGGACGACGAGGAACCCAAACGTGAGCAGGCTGCCGATCGGCACCTCTTTGGCGTCGAAACGAGGTCATTTGTAGCGGGAACAAGCACCTGCGCTTCGGGTATAGACCTTTTCATTTCAGTAGTTGCTTGACCGGCGGGTAGAGGGCGCTGGCGCACTCGCCGCCATTAGGTTGCTTCAATTTGGTCGGTTTCGGTTTCAACGTGCACGGGATTGTGATGCTGTTTCATGCCATTTTCGATTATTTTGCGATATAATTTTTTTCTTGTAGCACACAGCGAATGAAATATTGGTACTGAGCCACTTGGCAAACCACGAAGTTGTTTCGAGCCTAAATTGCGATCTTTTTTTACGAACACTATATGCGTCTGATTCCGTCCATCGTTAATTTCGGCCAGGTTCGGCGGTGAAACAACTCCGCTGATGCACAGGGAAAAGTACCATTGTCCACGGCCGTACCCGCAAACACTACTTTCCAGAAGAAAAATAAATAAATAAAGAGTAGGACAATCTCCGCCTGCAGCGTGCGCTCGTTGCCTGCCGCCGTGCTTTGGCTGTGCAAGCACCGAGTGGTACGGAAGGTAGATATATATAGCTCGCGCTCCAAGTCAGAGCTGCTACTGCTAACCTTATATTCCAACAGACTATATTGCATGAGTGCTTGGTGGAAAAGCAGGTCGACAACACGATTAACAATCTGCTGATTCACCAAGAACAGATGAACTGACAAGTTTACTGTTCGATATTTGGTTTCCGTACACCAACCTTTTCTAACTGCGAGACTGGAAACGTCTTTTATAATGACTACAAAAGTTTCATATAATCACGTAGATAATATAAAAAGTGATATTGTCTCGACCGGTTTTATTTAAGGAAATTAAGCGCTCAAAAAATATTTTGATACACCAGCGTTCACTAGAAAATTTCTTTAACTAAAGTAACTATAGTAGGGTTCACTAGAAAATTTCTTTAACTAAAGTACTCATTAACAGCATTTCAAAATATTGGCCTTATAAAATAAACTTTTTGTTATATGGATGTTTGCTTACGACGTTCTCAAGGTATGAGAAGGGTGAGGTAAGTGAATGCCAGACTTCAAGTAAAGTCTAATATTCATCTTCCGTAAAATTTGCCGAATGAAATTGAAGAGCGCAAAAGAAATGATCTCCGATAAGTTTGGCTGAAGTCGAACGCCACGCGTCCCCCAATGAACAAAATCTGTTCGTTGATTGGAAACGATGCGCTTTGCACATTTTGACGTCGCCAGCTGCTGAAAGTAACTCCCTATTCGCCGTCGACAACCGGCTGCACTCGGGTAATTTTCATGCTGAAGGATTCTTTTCGGCGTTACATTTTGTGAATCATAGGCACTATCAAGCTGTTTGTGACAGTTTCTTACGTGGGGAGTCCAAATATTTGTGTTGAAATAAATTAATTGAATCTGCATGGTTATATTAAAAAATGACTTAAGCAATTTAAAGACTATGGACATGGAACCAAGCACGATATACAATTCCGTGGAATTCATAAATAAACCGATAAAGCGAATGCTTATATCGCACACGTGATTAAGAACGTAAAACATATATAGGTGGGATATTGCGAAGAAACAAGTTGCCTAATGTTAAGGTACCGTTATTTCTAGCATAAAAAGTAATTCAAATTAAACATTTATTCCCGCGTCTTGTCCACAAGTTCTCTAGTGTAATCAAAAGAAACTGTTTTCGAATTGTTGTAACTACAAAACACCATGCTTTCGGGAAAAACACGTGGCTAATTACGCTGGGTGTTTTTGTTTCCTTCCTTGGCACCAATGCGCACTCATTTATATAATAACATTAGTCTTCCTATTGCAAATGTTCCGCTCTTATTAGTAACCAAACCTCAGTTCTCATAAGATGTTGGTATTTGAACCCTCGAGGCTCTCTTCAAGTCATATATGTATTCAATGTGCGCAAGTTCTAACGCTGATTCCTGTATCCCGCACGCAGACGGTAAAAAAATATTCAAAACGTGTTACAAAATCAACTACAGAAGATGCGCGCATAATGATGTAATGGAATTGCATGGTAAGTATAAGTATCTGACGACACTTTACGGAGTAAGGCAAGAGACGCGGCGACAAACACGAATTCAACGCATCCGCCAAGGCGCGGACGGGAGAGCGGAGCAACCAAGTTGAAGCAACCTAATGGCGGCCGCATCACGTGATTCCAAGATGGCAGCGCCCATGCGGCGGAGGGTGAAAAGGGCTATAGGCGCTTCATTCTCCGATCATCTTCCGGAAGCCGCCATTTGGGCACTTAGCGCAGAGCAGACGCAATTTTCGACGGCCAGAATTCAAACGTGCAGATTTTTGAGACCTAGTTGTGGGGTGTTAGGAAAACTCGGGCGATGCTATTTTGCTCCCTCCTGTGCTGTCTAAAAATTTGCGAAGGAATGTGTTTGCAGCCACAATTTGGAGGAGAGCATCGGATAACTGGCAACAATGAACCTGGGCACCGAGTGCACCTAAGTGTCGTTGCGCTCGTTATCCTGTCTGTGGTGGGCTCAATGTTAGTGTGCTCTCGTGCAGCGAATGGAAGTTGTATACAGCATGCGAGTTTGCCAGACATTACCTAGAGGCTGGTTCCGACATTTGCTCCCGAGTATGGCCGACTGCCCTACGGCGGCTTGTGACGAGGCGCTCGTTGTGGCTGGGGCAAGTGAAGCCCAAGCAATGTGTCGCAGTGGAACATGAGCAGTCGTGACGCAATCGTCGGTACTTTAGAGCACCTTGGCCGGCTTCGTTCCGGTGCAATGCACCGATTAGAAGACGACGTGAGCGGAAGGACGTCGTGGTGCTCGAGTCGAGCCGGTGCTCTGATGTCGGTATTTTTAAATAAATAAAATATGCCACCGCCTCTTTGTGGGCGAACAGAGAAAAGTGTGTGGGCCTTGCGTTTTTTTTTTTCGTTGTGGCATTGGTTTGGCCAGGTCGAGACTTTGCTGAGTCGCAAATGCTCTTACGAGTGTGACGCCTTGCCTGAAATGTGACCAAGTCATCCATGCTGTGCGGCATCTTTTTCGTGAAGTGATAACCAGCAGGCACGACGGAGGATGTTCTGTTGGAAGAAGACTGTGTCTGCTGGGCACCAGAGTCCACTATGTTGCTCGCCATCACATTACACGCTCGCGGTGTTCGCAAAGCCACCTGTCATCACATTACAAACTCATCACAGTTCTCTAAGTCGCTCGCCGTCACGTTTAAAACTAACCTAGCTTAGTGGAAGATGCTCCGAGTCATTCACATTCTTTCTGCGAGTGTACGTGAATACATACTAGTTCACGAAATTACTCAGTCATGTTGCGAGTATGTTGGGAAATTCTTCCGGAGGATTTAAAGTGGTTTCAGAGTTTTTTTTTTTTTTTTTTTTACATCTTGTGCACGCTAGCATTTATTGCTCTTAAGGTGTGAATGTGGAGTGCTTAGTGTTCTAAACCCACCGGTAAATTTTTTTTGAGTTTGCAAGAGTGTGAGTTGACATGAGATCATCAGCTTTCGCAGAAGTACGTCACGAAGGTACTTGGGCTCATACAAGGTCTTACTGCAATCGGAGCTTACGCGAGTGTGAGCGAGTCCGCGTGAGTTTGAGTTCATGCCGCAATGTGTGACACCTGCCCGTCTTCTGCAGTGGGTCTCCTGGACCAGCCCCTGGAGCTGTCCGGGTCCAGGCAGCGCAAGAAGGTGGAACGTCTGGAGGTGAGCTTCCAGCAGCCGGCCAAGGAGAAGACGGAGGTGCCCCAGGGCAAAGGCACTCCCCTTGGACAGTGCCCACGTAGTGAGTGCACACAGACGGTCTTTTGGGTGCTAGGAGCAACACCATCCTTTCTGTACTAACATTTCATTGTTTGCTATGATCACTCGTGGGATGGGAATGACGGGGCGTCTCTTCCCGACGCCTCCTGAACGTGATCGTTGCCTTTTGTATACTTTGACTGCTTGTGCATCCTATCAGTGAAGTAATAGTTTTGTTTCAAGGACAATCGTAACCCATCATACTTTTGTATCGCCCAAATTAAGTCTGATCAATCAGGTACCTTGTGCAATCTCTTGACTTGTGACCTTGTCAAGAACAATGTTAGGCCAGAGTAGCTCGGTCCCTGTCCTGGTTTTGTCCCAAACCTTTGCTAGCGGTGTTTTTATTTTTATTTTTAGAAGATTTTTATGTGCTTGCAGGGGTGGGACAGCTGTGCCAATTTTGCCATTTCGATGCATTCACAATTTGCTGTCCCTAGCAGTGCCAAAAGCATGAAATCATGCAAAATTATGCCACGCTCTTCCAAAGGTCACAGTGACACTATATTTAGCATGAAGTGAAAGGAAAGCTTGGGCGACAACCTCGGTTATTTTGTTGCCGGGTGGTGCAAGCCGCCACCCGATTCCTTGGTTCGGCCGGGTCTGTTCTTTCAACCGTTCATTCAGTGTATACATCTGTACATTATAACCGTCGTGTCGTTGCATCATACTGGGTGGTGGTGGTGTTGAAAACATTTATTTCAGGAAAGAAAGGGGATGGGGACTGGAACGAGATTGGAGATCTTGATCGAAGAATCAATTTTGGCTGGGTGCCCTTAGGGCTCCCCAATCATGGTTTGCACCACCGTCACTCTAGTACTTAACAGTGTTAGCTTCCTGGATCGCTAAAACAGAGGCCCGCGTTCCAGCTGTTCCTCGTCGGGTTCGGAAATCGAAGCCAAACCTTTAATGTGCTTTCACTCCCACATCAAGTGGTACAGGTCCCCCCATTTCTACCCGCGAAAAGAGCAAGTTGGCAAAGGATGTATTTGGAGGTACCGTTGATGGAGCTCCATTGACATCTTCATGGTTCCTGTCTGCAGTCTTCTATGGGGGTGCTCCATAGAATCGTGTGGTGAACTTTGAAGGTGGTGTTGGAAGAGTTTCTGGCTTTCCTGATCATCCTCAAGTACTCATACTTCATGTTGGAGTTCGACAAGTTTGGTTAAGGTGTGGACGAGGTCCCGGTTCGAATGAAAGGCTCTGGCTGCGGCGTTTTCCACCTCGTTTCTCTCGACGCTTGCATGACCTGGTGCCCAGACAATCTTCATGCTCGTAAACTGCGCCTCGGAGAGAATTCTCGCCACCTGGTCGCCTATTTCACCCTTTGCAAAGTTGCAGCACACCCGTTGCGAGTCTGTGATGACGGTGATGTGGTCTTGTTTGGCACTTCTGGCAGACAGAGCAATTTAGGCTTCTGCATGCTTTGTGAGGGTCGTGTAGACCAACGCCCTCCTGACCATGTTGCCACGAGGATCGGCCACGGGCAGGGCGGCGGAGTTGCCCCTTGGTAGGATGGCTGCGTCGGCATACAGGGTTCCGGGCTTCTTGTTCCATGTCCTGGATATGGTCTGTAAACAAACTCTTCTTCTGTCAGCATTCCTTTCCGAGTTCATATTCCTCGGGATCTTCTCGACCGTGATCTTGCCTCGTGCAGTTTGGGTTCTTGGTGTATTATGACATCCGGTGTGGCCGGTCGCAGCCATTCCAGGAGCCATCTTCCATTCTCTGTTTTGCTGAGAAGCTTGATTTGTGATATCCTCTAGGCTTCCCAGTGTTTCTTGACGCTGTTCTAGAGGCTGTGCTGAGCAGGTCCTCCGTTTCCACATACTCTGGTAGTTTAAGGGTGCACTTGAAAGCCCTTCGAATGATGACGTTGAGTTTGTTGACTTTGGTCCAAGTGAGTCTCAGGTACGGTGTGGCGTGCATGGCCTGAGAGACCACAAAGGCATATACCAGCTGTATAGCCTTCTTCTCTCTGAATCGGTACCACTGGTTCCTGATTCTCCTCAGCATCCCGACAATGTGCGTCGTGGAAGTGGCAAGCTTGATGATGGCGCTGAGATCTCTTCCCGACTGGGTGAAAATCTGGCCGAGGATCTTCACCTCCTTGGGCTTGGGTACTTCTTGTCCACCGATGTAGATGTTCAGGCGTGATCAAAAAGTTTCGAGAATGATTTTGTAGCGTAAGAAGAGAGGACAGCACAGTGACGCATGCGCAGCGGTCGAAGGAAGAGACCTCTGTGTCTCGTTATATGAAAGGGCGTCTCTTTCTGAACATGAAGCTGTGCTACAAGAGTTTTTGTAACCACATGCACATGCACAGTGGCGATTCAACATAGACTGCAAAGCGAAAGCGAACATCAGTTCTGCGTCAAACTTGGAAAATATAAAGCGGAGACCTTTGAAATGATTCAGCAGGCTTGAGTCAAAAAGCAGTGAATTTTCTGAAGCGTTCTTGGCACTTGAGCTTCAGGAACGGCAGAAAAGTGCTGGAAGACTAAGAGCAATAGGCAACCTTATCTGACCTCTCCTTGATTTCAGTGACGTTCGGCTATGTTGAGGTGCCAGTGCCTCTCAAAACACCTTGCGCACCTCACCGCTTTTTGACATAAGCCTTCTAAATCATTTCAGAGGTCTGTTTTAGAGTTATTATTAATGTTCGCTCTCGCTTTGGTTTGCAGTCTATGGAGGGATCGCCATTATGCTCGTGCATGTTGTCAAACAAACTCGTGTAGCACTGTTTTAAATGTTTACAGAGCGATGTCCTTTGTCATAATGATGCAAGAGGCCCCTGCCTTCGACTGCTCACCACCGTGCTGCTTTCTCTTTGTACGCTACAAAACCAATTTCAGAACTTTTTGATCACACCTCTCACATCCTTCGTGCTACGATGTACGATGAAACTTAGCTGTAGCATTAATGGTTAGCCCCTTAATTTTCGATCGAAATTTGTTCCTAGAATAAACTATGCGTAATTTCGGACATTCCAACTTTCCAATGCGTATAGTCGAAACCTAGTTTGCTCGAATAGTAACTCAATGTATATCTAGCTCAGATGTTCTCTTAAAATGATGTCGCCGTTGCTCCTAAGGTGCTCCAAAATTACCGATTCCTCTTTATCCTTAAGGCTCCAAAGCAAACGTTCTACTCACCCAAGCTATTCTAAAAAAGCGGTTTCACTGCTCCTACACTTCTCCATAACATGTTTTTTTTTTTTTTTTTTTCTGCCCCAAAAATTGCTTTAGAACCAGTTTGGTCTGTCCCACCTCTGTGCTTGTAACCTGCAATCTTGATGTTGTGACTTTATTGCCTTGCCTTCTTGTTTTGTCTTCCAGTTTAGGTCAGGTCCCTTCATTTTTATTTTGTTACAAACTTTTGTCAGCATCGTTTTCCCTTCTTTGTCAGAAGGCACTAGAGTCTTTCTGACCGCACGACTGCAACATTGTGACTTGCTGCCGTCTTGTTTCGTCTCCCAGTCGAAAACGAGATCAACAAGCACAAGGCTGACAGCCTCAAGGGCCTTCACAAGATTCTTTTCAACAGGGCAGGAGCGGTGAGTAGCCTGATTCGTTGTCCCAGGGGCAAGTGTTTGCAAAAGATACGTCGCTTCGCACACAAAATGTGATTTTAATTGTGTCAAACGTAAAAAGGGGGAAATTGAATGTCAAAGGTTTTGTTTTCGTGGACGGAATAGCACGCATACTGACGCCCTCCTCTTAATAGCCTCTTTCTTTCGTACGCTTTTTTTTTTTTTTTTTGTCTATTGCACTTTGTAAAAGTTTACGTCTGAAACTTTAGAGACTGACTCTGATCGAGAAAAGAAAGAACTTCGTTTTCGAATGTCGGAAAAGAAATTTAGCTCGAAGGGACGTGGGATGCACTAGAGTTGAGTGTTTTAGACTCTCTCTCCTACTTCGTCGCTCTTTCCTCCAACCAGAGCTACTCGGTATATGCTATGCCCTGGAGTGAGGACACCTCAACCATTTGGTGCTCAAAATCATTGTTACCAGCCATTTGAAGTTGCATCTTTTCCGTCCTTCGGAAACAGTCAAGCAGTTTATGACGGAGCAAAATGACGTCGCCGAGCTTTCCGACTTGTCGAAAGCTCGGGGGGAGTCACATTTTCGGATCACGGCAGCCGTTGATTGCGCCTCCTCAGTACTGGGCACCAAAGTGGAAACTCTTACGCGAAAGGCAGGAAACGAAGTGCGAACGCTTGAGACGTAGCTCGTTCAGTGGCTCTGCCTTCAACAGGTGGCCAAAACTACGAGCTGTCAACAATAACCCCATTCTTTTGGCGTGCAATGATGTTCCGTGCGGGGAATTTTCCCATTTTTAGAGAATTTAAGCTTTCGGTTTCGGCGAACAGGGAAATGGGGATGTTAACCTGATTGCAGGGAATTTGAAGGATTAACAAGAGAATTCTAAAAAAAAAACTTTAGAGAGAACTAGATTGAAGAAAAAAAAACAAACCGCATCTCGACGTGGTGAATGATGTTGATTGGGGTGAAGCTTTGGTGGTGCTTGTCTGCGTAGACGGTGAGCCGCAGCATGCCGAGCCTTTCGTTCATTTTCATCCATGTCGCGCTGCGGTCAAATGCTCAAATGCGTATATAACCACGTTCCATACCACATTCTCTTTCTGACGTGGATGAAAACGAATGAAAGGCTCGGCATGCTGCGGCTCACCGTCTACGCAGACAAGCACCACCAAAGCTTCACCCCAATCAACATCATTCACCACGTGCAGATGCGGTTTTTTTGTTTTTTTTCCCTACACAAGCACGTGCTCGTGCTGCACGTGCACCCGACGGCGGACGGACATACGGACATGGCTAGCCCCTCAGGAGCTTAGCCCCTAAAAATGTTTTGTGGTCTAAAAGTTTCAAGAGAAAGTGACGGTGTAGGAGGGAGAGGTGTCTGAATAACCCTAAGGCTGCATGACCCTAAGGTTCTATAATCCTGTTAACAAATATATAACATGACCAGCAACATTGTCCTCTCTTTAAACTTGCGATTTCATGCGTTTTTTTTTTGACTAAACGCGTTCAAAGTGGCCAGCATGAACGCAGAAATCAGCTGCTGTGAAAAGAAAGGCAAGAAAAATGTAGGGAGATATGCAGCGATGTTTGAAGTTTGCAGGGAAAACATACCTCAAATAGGGAACTTTTGTACCCCAGAAAGGGCATTTTCGGACATGGTATGGGACATCACTGCTCCCATGCCTTACAACTCCCCCGACGCACACGACACGCGAAGAGACCGAGGATTGCAGTTGAACACCTTAAGATCGGCTCGCGCATTGGCCTCCGACCGTGACCGAGCAAACTGTGATCGCTTGTGAAGCGCCCTGACGAGAGAACACGCCACATCCGTCACGCACCGGTGAAACACCCGTATGGGCTGTCGGGTGGCCCCGCAACTGCGTACAACTAGATCGGAGGTTTTTCGGTATCTGCAAGATCATATCTACGCATTATCTGCGAGAAATTGTCGCCCGTAACATTGTTAAAGGGTTTCGGCCAATGGTGAAAAAATAGTGTGAAAAACGCTGCGATGCGGTCTCTTCTTGTAAGCAGCCACGAGAGATCGGAACGCGTCCCGTCACAGTTGAACGCAAATGTGCGAACCAGCTTTTAACTCCTAGTTCCGGTGCCTAGTCAAACCGTGCACAGATTTGAAAGGGATACTTCAACGAAATTTGAAATATACCCGTCATGTTCACAAATAGGCTGAATATGATCCACAATATCCATAAATGACTATTGCACGTTTGTATTCTGAGCTCGATGGCTGTATTTTTCGTTATAAGCGGCAGTCTCTGGCAAGCGCTCGGAGAGCAGCCAGCGGAGAGCACGTCACATCCGGCGCAATCGTGACATAGATTTTCTTGGGATGAGCAAAGCTGCGGCGAGGCTGACATTGTCACGATGCCCTAGCCCTTCCAGCCACCAAAGCGGTCGAAGCACGCCAACGATTGGGCCACTGCAACTAACCGCAAAGCTGCTTTTGTGTGAATTCTGAGTGATGGGTTAATCTTCTACAATCTTGTCGAGGAAGAATAGCGACATCTGGGACACACAAAAGAGAGTCCTGTTGAGTTGGAAGTTCCTCCCTCCCCTCTCTAGTGGTGGCCGTAGAGCTGTTGGGATGTCATCAGGTTCAAAGCATGTATAATTCTAGGCGAGACATTTATTGTCACTACCTGTCAAGGTTCCTAGACGGGCATTACAAACGAGGCTTTAGCAACATCCACCAGGTGCTCTTTGCTGATTGTTTAATTTGTATTAAAGTTGTCTCTTTTTTAACAAGATATTGGTGTGTGATTTGATACTGCTCCTTTGAACACGTATAGACCAAAAAATAAGCACCGAAACTTCGTTGTGTACCCCTTTAAGCCAAACGGTGGCTATCGTCATTATAAAAAGATAAAGAAGCAATCTAATCAAACATTGAACTTTTTTTTTTCCAGCCGATGGAGATTAAGAAGAACTTGAAAAAGTTTAGCGGCTTCACCTTCGACAAAGACTCGGCAGACTACGACAAGAAGAAGAAAGCGCTTATCAAGTGAGTCGGAGAAAGAGTGGGCGCCGGCGTTGTCGTTCCGCATCCGGCGGCTCGTCGGTGTCGGGGTGTTTGAACCATTGGCGAAGTGGTTGCAGGAAGGCGTTTTAGGCGATGCGACTGACTCGGCGGAGAGAGACTGCCGAGCGCTCTGGTGGTTTCCGCTTAGAAGACGTGAACCTTGCCCTCCATTAAACTTTATTCTCGCTTGGCACAATCTTCTGCCAGAATGCCTGCACGTGCCATTTGTAAAGTATGCGAAAGTGGTTAATTCCATTTACCGCACATCTTAAGCCTCTTCTTTGCCCCTTTCTTTAACTCGGAATCGGACCTTAACAATGAAAGCGAGGAGGAAATTACAGGCCGCCATTTCGCTGCGATGCCGGTACGCTTGGTTTGCTGTCCCCACGCAGCCGATCACATGAGCTGAAAATCGCTCTTGCAAGGGAGTTGGCTGCCAGGCAATGTGCCTGCAGCGATTAGTGAACCAGCGGTCGAGAGTGAGACGGATGCGGCAGCGCTGGGTATGAGGAGGTTGTCTCTCTAAAAGATTTTCCACCTTGCATGGTGGAAAAATATCTTGCGAAATATTTAGGTCGGTGGACTCGTTGTGAGCACCACAATCTGCTTTTGTTGCACGCTTCTGTTTTGGAACGATGAGCCAGAATAGGGCGTTTTGGGATCGCTTCTTACTCGAAACTATGTGCAACTTAAATATTGATATAACCTTTCTTTTATTTTTTTTTCATTTAAGTTTGTTTTTCTTGTGTTTGTGCACAATCTAGGCACTTCAAAAAATGTTGTATTTACTCGCATAATGAACACACTTTTTTTCTCGAAAAATTTACACGTATTCAGATAGAGCGTTGATTACGTGGGGTAAAATTTTTTTCCTTTACGCACTTTGTGCAAATGTCATACTAGGTGCCAATATGACGCAGCAAGGTACTGTGGCACGTCCACTGATAGAGGCGCACCCACGACTGGTCGGGTGCGCCGCAGTAACCATGCTTTATAAATTGCAAACCTTTTTAGGGCACTTTTTTTCTGCCTTTTGCGGAAGGAAAAGCGTCCTACGAAGCGCACTCGGCATGGAGAGCGACGTGACCTCCCTTAGGCCTAACCACTGTCACGATTTCACTGTCCGAAAGTGGATCACGGACTACGGAGTGTTTGTTAAAAAACAACGCATCCGATAGGTGAAGAATGTCTGGGGCTGGGCAATTCCTTGACCCAAGCTTTGTCAAGTGTGCGCGCCGCTCGGTCTCACGGTTGATCACTTCCGCACCTACACACTTGCAAGCATTACGAGAGTGGCTTGGCTCGACTTGGCCTGACCGCTTGGCTGCAAAAGAAAATTGGTTTGGTGAGTTGGACACAATTTGAGACTCGCGGAGCCGAAATTGGAGATGCTTTCATTACGGGAGGGGGAAAAAAAAAAAAGTCTGTATATTGGCATATTGGCACGGTATTTCTTGAGGAGTTCAGGATTTTCAAGAGCGATTGAAACTCTTCCATTTTGGGTCGATGGGCCAAATTATCGAAATTGCTCCCAACCCAAAACGTAACCCGCAACGCTAAATACATAAAAAAAAAAAAAAAGCTTTACGAAGAAAGTAATTGCACAATGTACATGTCCTATCCACGCATTTCAATATACAGCCTGTAGACTAAAGCTTTTAAGGCACTTTAGACGGCCTGCAAAAATCCACGTCGAGCTGTAATTTACTACAGAGGTGGAAGCAGGTGGTGGAGTTTAACGGTAAAAAGGTTGAAAATTACACTTACCTTGTTCGAAACAATAAAAAAAATTAATGGAAACCGGTTTTGGGCAATTTTTGCCGCCATTTCGCAGACAATTCATGCGTAGTAAGAAGCACTGGCAACATCGAGGCAGCGCCGGCCGGTTGGGATTACGATGGCAAACGATCCCGCTAGAGAACTTGTACCGGCTGGCAGTCCGTTGGCAGCGCTTCTCACTATGCGTGCATCGTCTGCGAAGTGGTGGCGTAGGCTGCCCAGGACAGGTTTCTGTTGAGTTTTTTCTTTTTAACGAGGCCAGTGGACATACCTCTGAAGTCGATTGCGGCGCAACGCCTTGACAAACCGACTTTTGCGGGCAGTTCAAGGTGCCCTGTCGTTTTCGCTGTGCTGTTGACTGCAACAGAGGACGTGTTTTTGGGAGTTCACTGTCCGTTTCGACGGGGGGATTAAAGACTGGAGCGGAATGCAGCAGGTCGTAAGCACCAAGAGAAGGAGTGAGGAAGGGCGCGGTGGAAGAAGGGAAAAAGAAAGCGACGGTAGGTTGGGCGCGGCCGTATGTCTGCGACGACTCTGAAGTCGTTGGTGCACCCGTCATGTTTCTTTTTCTCGTAGGAAATAAAGCTAGGAATACAGTATGTACGAACGTCGAAAGGCGGACTTGTAGGGCACTCATTACGAGCGATCAAATTACTTGTAATCCATTACTTTTTTCTGTAATTTTGTTATGATTTAATTCTCTTTTCTAGGTAGTAATCGCAAGTGTAACCTGGTTACCTATGAAAATAATCAAATTCATTGTAACCGTTACTATGTTTTTCCTCCCTTCGTAATGGCAGCTTATGTTTCCAGAACATTCCTACCAAGGAGCCATCAAACCAAGTGTCCGTTTAACTTAGACTAATAGTAATTGTAATCTATTACTTTTTTTTTTTTTTGAGTAATGCATACAAGGCTGCTTGCGAGCGACGTTTTCCTCCCCTTTTGCGCATATTAGGGCGTCGCCAGCAATGTGGGTCCATCGGGGCCACCGACACAATGCGTGGGACCTTTCCCTCTAGACCGTCATACTGACCTTGCGTTCTCGCCGCCGCGTGCCCAGGGTGACGGTCAAGGGCCAGAAGGAGATCTGCGGGCTGCTGGACCTGGAGAAGGGGGGCACGGTGGAGGAGCGGGCGGAGCGCATCCTGCTCTTCCTGCTCTGCCCGGAGGACAACAAGAAACCCCTGCCCGGCAGCGCCAAGAAGAGTGAGTGCCCAGCCAGAGGCCCTTCTCGTCCCTTACGAACCATTTCCGCTTCGGCCGCTCTAGGCCAGCGCCCCCAAATCGGCTACGCTTCGGAGCGCAGGTATCGTGCCTGCAAATGGGTCTTCGAGTGGCGCGTTTGGCGTCCTGCTCCGCCCACGCGTCGAAACCGGAAAGACAGTGTCATGCTGTCGGATGTCACGATACTGGTGGTTTGTCGTAGAAGTTGCAGAGGAAAGCAGGAGCCGAAAGCAGCGGGGGCTCCTCGGCTTTCGGTCGAGTTGACGTCGGTTCCTTGAGGTTGAAAAGTTTGAGAACCCGTTTCAAAACAATAGCACATCGGCCGTATTCGTGCTTGAATAGTGTTCTCGCGAATTGATGAGTGATTGGTGATGGAGTGAGAAAACCAGTAACTGTCTAGCGGGGCGAGCTTGCGTCTGGAAACAAAATGATAGTACTACAGTTGAATCTCGATTTAACAAAGTCACCGGGACCCGCTAATTACTTCGTTAGATCGGGAACTTCGTAAAATCGAGGAAGGGAGACCTTGCACATAGGCTGCGCGGGGAATGCGAATTTCTTCGTTAAATTGGGAAATTTGTAAAATTGGGTTTCGTTAAATCGAGGTTCAACTGTAGCGTCGAGGGCTGGGCAAGATACGGATAGAATGCTTGGAGCGATGGCTCCTCTTGCACGCCCTGTGTTTGGGGATGTTCCAGAGTGGAACACAGTAAGAGTTCCTAAATAGAACTGACGGCAACGAGGAAGATGCAGCGCCGTGGATTTTCTTGCACATCTGGTGGTTGATTACATGCCCTACCGACTAGGTTGGGCACATCGCATCTACTAATTGAAAGTGAACAAGGGATTGCCAAACGGAGAACTGTTGTCATCGTTGAAGCTCGAAATTCCCACACCATGACACAAGTTGCCCGAAGCGACGCAGTGCAGTTTCCGCGCTTCATTTGTAGTGAGTGTGACAGTTTGGTGGAAGCTATGTCCTTGTTGGGCCAGTCATAGTCGACTTTTTGCCTCGCTATAGCGCTTTTTTTTCATACCCAGGTGCACAGAGCGGGGTCGGATGAGGAAAGGGTGGCGATTGATCGGTTTGGTGGGCACATGGTTCCCACCGCACCATTGGCTTGGGGGTGAACGAAGTGTGAGGCTAAGCTAGCTTTTCGCGTTCTCTTTGAAGAGAGGAGTTCGGAAGGGAAACGGGAGTGCTCTCTTGAGCGGCGGGTCTTATCTGGGACTGGTTATGGGAGCGAGATTTGTAACGTGTTTGGTTGAAACCGGAGCCTTTAAATATGCTATGTTTAGGGTGTGGACACTCCATTGCCCGGTCAACTCGCTGGCGCTGCCATTTTTGTGTTGAGTGCAGCATGGGTGCAATTGGCTTTGTTTCGAAAACGTGGCACCGTGAGCTTTGGGCATAATATTGGAGAGCTCGGTTATTGTTCTACTCGATCGTGAAATGGTCAGACTTTTCTGTAGCGTGGAAAAGCGCTTCCAGCCGTTTCAGATGCCATAAATGACTTAAAGGGGCGGTGCAACGATTTTATGATTAAAACAATTTGCATCTCGTCATTTTTACGTTGTTTATCATGTCCCAGAGGATAGAGAAAACACTTCCTTCATTAAAAATGTTGCGATTCCGCTGCACAATCGCAAAACAAAAGTAGAGCTTCTTCCCCCACCTGCAGCCCCAAGTGGCAGCCGAAGGAACTACGGCGGAAAGATTACGTGACCTCGCTCGGCTCTAAGCTGCAGCATAGCGCCCGCTAATGTACGCAGAGAGAGGGAGGGGAAGCGTCCTCCGAGATAGCACACGGGAAGCTACACGGCACTCCGAATGACGTCACTGGGAGTGCGACCAGGTGTGACCCTGAAGACTGGGAGTGAGTTGAGGGGTGCCCGAAATGCCAATCTTTATCTTTTTTTTACACAAGAACTAGGACACGCAGGCGAAATTGGTTTTCTGTTCTGTACTTCAGAAGTGTCAGGGGGCAACTTCCAGATATCTTAGACCGAAGTCTGAAAATCGTTGCACCGCCCCTTTAAGGGGGGAGGCTGGTCTTTAACTTTTGGTTTTTTATTTTTCATTTATCGTGCTGAAATTTAGTATACTGATGTATTTCTCTGTGGTGATTTCAAATGTGCAATTAGTTTTCAGATAGCTTTACTAGATCCTGAGTTACCGATGAATTAGTCATTTTTAATTAGGTCCTCTTTACGGGTCGTTAGCGTAAGAGTTTTCAGAATATATCAGAAATTTTTATAGAATTGCATTCACCAAGACATGTTTTGTGCGGTGATGCTAATTTAAGACTGATTTAATGATATTACATTGGTAAAAAACATTTGCAATCAAGTTGCTTAAAACGGGAGGCTATATCTTTTTGAGACTAATTAATTAAAATTATTGTATGATATATAAAGCAACAAAAATAGCATCACCGCACAAAACATGTCTTGGTGAATGCAATTCTATAAAAATTTCTGATATATTCTGAAAACTCTTACGCTAACGACCCGTAAAGAGGACCTAATTCAAATTACTAATTCATCGGTAACTCAGGATCTAGTAAAGCTATCTGAAAACTAATTGCACATTTGAAATCACCACAGAGAAATACATCAGTATACTAAATATCGGCACGATAAATTAAGAATAAAAAACAAAAAGTTAAAGACCAGCCTCCCCCCTTAATAATTTTGCGACAAATGAATTGTGTGGACGGCGTCTGACCTGCAATGCGGAATATGCGGCACGTCGCTCCAGGTAGCAAAATTTTTGTGCCTTAAACCCGCGCTTCGCAATTTGTCGAATAACGAGCTCATGAAGGTGAGGTTGTTTACGGTAAAGCTTTGGATAACTGGCAACAGTGGTGTTGCTCTCCGAGATGGTCGAAAGTTGTTAGTCCAAAGAGTGGCTCCTTCGGTGACCCTAGTTGAAACGTTTAAAGGCTGGTTCAACCAGCATTAATTGTTACGGTACGGAAGCTTACTCCTTATGCCACAGGTGACTGATACGTAACGGAAGAAAACCGAGCAGTGTGAACCAGCTTTTACGGCCGGTTCACACACCATCATTCTCTTGCGTTACGAACAAGCCACCGAAACGTCCGTGTCTCGAGCGTCGCGTGCCAGGTTAATGCGAAGCATGGATGTCCCGGTGACTTGTGCGTCAGCTTTTGTAACGTAACTAAAGGTTGTGCAAACCAGCCCTCGGTGGGGGCATCCTTGTGACGCCGTGTTCCTTCCCCCTGCCGCGCGTCCCAGCAGGGAAGGCAGCGGCTTCGGGCGAGAAGAGGCCCGCAAGAAGCAAGAGAACGGCGGCTGCCAAGGCTTCCAAGAAGGTGCGTACCCTCGCGGCTGCGCCGCCGTGGGACCTCTCCGTGGACGCCGTGCAACATATTGTACCGTTGCTAAAGGGACACTAAGCCACCTTCCGCGATAGTTTATTCATGGCCGTAGCTCATTGCACGGGCTCTACGCATCCCGGTAAACCAAACATCAAGTTTTTACGTAACGTTACGCGTGGCCGATTTTTTTTCTATTAAATTTGGTATCGAAGATTAAGTGCGAAACACATGTGCGACGAAACCGTCCGATCCGATCCGACGTCCGACCAGGCAATACGACGGTCGGAGGCGAGGGTTTTCAACGCTCTCCGATGCTACGAAAACCCTCGCCCCTTAAGGTCATTCCGGCAGTCCGCATGTCGGATCGGAAGGTTTCGTCGTAGATGTGTTTCGCGCTTCAGCTCGGAACTGCTGCAGACACCTGAGGGCGCTGCCGGAGGAGGGGAAGTCTTTTTGTCTGATGGCATTCGTCGGGGGTATTGGTGTTAGTAATTCCCACATCCGTGGTCTGTTTTTTTTTTTTTTTTTCAACATAAACTGCTTTTTTCTTGTACAACACCCAAATATTGACACCGAGAAATGGCAAATTTGCAGGGGAAAAAAGAAAACCTTCTAAAGCGCCCCCGAAGTCGGTGGAAAATAAAACTCGGAAAACACCGAACTCTTATAGTCACTGTCCACTATTACCTTTTCTCTTGCAAAATGCAGTTTCAGGGTTTCCTTATGGAAAGTGCCAGTGTGCTCTCGTCGTAAGAGACCACAAAAGCTCGTCCGTAAGAAAATACGGACGAGCTTTTGTGGTAAGAAAATAGTGTTTGAATGGACCCTTCCATTATCATAAACGGTGCAACCATCGATGTACCTTTACATTATCATAATCGGTGCGGCGTGTTCTGCAGGTGAAGGAGATGGGCAGTGACGGGGAGGAGGACGAGGAGGAGGAGCCCGAGGAAGAGGGTGAGGAGGAGAATGAGGAAGAGGAGGAGCCGGAAGATGTTCCACCTCCCAAGAAGACCAAGAAGGAGGCGCCCACACCCAAGGCCACGCCTTCGCGGAAGCGCTCCGCCGCCCCTGCCAAGGCTGAGAAGGCCTCAGATGCGGAAGAGGAGGAGGGGAGCGCGGTGGAGGAGGAGGATGCCGAGGAGGAAGAAGAGCAGGACAGCGACTATGAGGTGCGTCCTGACCCTCTTGTGGCGTAGCCAAGGGATCCCAAAAAAGTGTACATCCCCCCCCCCCCCTTTTTTTTTTTTTCACTGGAAGGAGATTGCTTGCAATTTACATCACTGCAAAATTCCAGTCAAAGAAGAGCACAAAGCATCCTTTTCTTGTAACAATCATGAAATGTTCTATGACCAGTTCTTCAAGTGGTTAGCTAAAGGGCCGATTTCTTCTTCTTATATGCTTACCGAGGAGCGCCGCTTCCAAATTTAGAGGTTATCCAATCATGACAATGAAGCTCTACGGCAATCATAAACGTTGGGGCCCCCAACGTTTATGATTGCCGTAGAGCTTCATCGTCACAGAAATGTGTTTCGCGTCAACAGGCTTGCCGAGACTGAGTGACTGGAAGTGTGGGGAGCCAAGGGACGGCTTGTGTTTGTAAGCGGTGAAAGGCTCTGTACTCCGTTTCACCTTGCGTCGTAAGGCGAAACTGCTCGTAGCAGAACCGACAAGCCGTCCCAGTCAATCCAGCTCCGTGAAAGTAGCATGTGACACACGCTCTGCACGTTCGTGGGCTTCCTCTCCAAGGTCACGTGACCTTCACATGGCCCTGGATTGGCTTTGACAGTTTGTAGTATCCTCTGCGGTCAGTCGTAGCAGGGTGTAAAAAAATCTAATGAAATTAGATTTCTTTGATTTAAATTGGTGTAGCGAGAAAAAGTGATAATCAGGTGTTCTTTTAACATGACAGATTTAAGCTTTTAAGGTGCAGTTTAATGAACAACTTTTTACTAACGTAAACCTCGCAATACAGTCGCCGACCGATTTTTCATACTCGAAGGGGACCCTGAAATTGTCCAAATAACCAAGCAATCCAAAAAATCAATTTCATTCAAAATATCAAATTTCTGCGCATATTCCGCTGCCAGTGATGTGATTGCTGCGCCAAACTGCACCAAGGGGCTGACTCTGCCGCATCCTGCTACATTTTGCCAAAATATGGGTAATCTGCGCCAAGCCTGCGCAAAAGGGCCAATTTTGGTAACCCTTCGAAACCGAAACTAAACAAGGTACCGTAATTGAGCATGCATGACCTAGGTGGCGCAAGCTGCCGCCGGACACAAAATACCCTGCATCAATCGTTCATCTGGTCTTGCATGGTTTTTTCCGCCATGCCGTCTCTTCTTTCGCGCTCTTGGCGTCTTGTACTAGCAGATTCACACGACGGACCGAATCGCGTTTTTCATCCGTGGACAGTGTACCACGTGACCGACACGTCACCGATTCCTGCGATCCGCGCCTCGTCTGCGCACGCGCGGACCGATAATGTCGAGCGCCTTTTTCACTCGCGGATTTATGGCGGGAGATGGACTTGAAAAGCGTTTAGTCTGGCAATAATACATTGTTTTCTTGTTTCTGTTTCTGGACGATAAAAACAAAAATGGCGCATCGTTGTGTCTTGTGCGTTCGCTCGTTTATTTTGTCGCGAGTTTCTGGGTTCCACGTGTGAAGGAAACTGCAGAAACTTTGTCTGGCTGACGCGACGCTGGTTCCGGTACTCGTCTGCGTCCGCGTCAAGAAGCGCCCGTCAAAACTTGTCTATAGTCGGTTGCAAGCTAAGAACAATCTTTTAGCTCCGCCCACAAGCGCATTGCGCCCATCTGAAGTGCCTCCACCGTCGAGAAAGTAGTTCGCTAGCAACGTTGCTTTTTCTTCCTTCAGGAAACGTGTCTTAAACTGCTACAATATTTATTTAATTCATTCAGGACATTTAAATAAGTTAGAATATGTTTTTGTCAACAAAATAGCTGTTTAGTAAAGAAAGAAAGTCATGTACAATGTACCGTCTTCTCAATTCATTTTCTGTCCAAGATACTGTCTAACATACCGTCTTCCAGCTCTCAGCAGTGCTAAGCCTTGCGCCCGCTTCGAAATTTTCGTTGGCGATAGCGTCGCTGGATTCTCACGTTGTCGCGCAAAAACTGCTGCAAACGCAAGCCGATACCATTAAGATTTCGTGGCGTAACCTCGGGCACGTAAAACACGGTGCAAAAAAGCAGAATAATTGTCACGAGAAACTAGCGTCGCGTTGCTAAGGCCAGCAGCCATGTTGAGCTTTTTTTTTTTTTTTTTTCAAAAGGATCGCAATTGGTCCACGGAATCGTGACGTCATGAAAACGATTGGCTGGCGTTTCTCGGCGTAGGATTACATTGTCCTCTGAGAGGCATTTCCGGTTTTTTCTTAGCTTGCAACCGACTATAGCACGCCGCGATAAGTCTTGCACGTTCAATCGGGATTTCACCGAGCAAGAGCACTCTTGTGGCTGTAGTGAACTTGAGTGTTGTGCACGAGCGCAGAGTCCGTGAAGGCATCTCCAAACGCACCTCCGCGAGCCACAGAACTTCGTCGCTTCTACGCGGAACCCTTCTCCATACCTGCCAGCTCTTCCGAATTTTTCGTAAAATGTATGAATTGGGACTAATTTTACGAGCCTTGCTTCAAATCTTACGAAAAATATATTTTTAATTTTTTTAAAATTTTATTTTATTATTATTTTTTGTTGTTTTTGTAACTCCTTTGTTTGCGGTATCTTGCACCACCACAAGAGGACGATAGGTACCGTCCACAGCAGCGTCGTGGTTTTTACTATCTGTCTATCCAGTGGCCATGGATAGAAAACCAATCCAAAGTTCAAAAAAGCCTTTGTTTGTGTGTTCGGTGGTGCACGGGTGCATGTTGGTTCGCCGTGTTCAGATGTTGGGCCTCGTTGTTTCGGCCAGTTTCGAGGCGAGAAGTACGGCGTCTGTGTTTGTTGCATGTGTAACTGTACCATTCTCCTGGTCACTGTGGTTTCACGGCGCAATGCCGAACTCGAAACCTCGAAAGAGGTACTTTCAGGTGTTCCTGAAGTCCTACACGTCGAAATTTCCGTGCTACGTGCCGCCCAAAAAGCGAGAAAAGTTTGGATTCTGTAGCATGTGCATGTGTGATGTAAGCGTTTCACACGCTGGCCAGGTTGACATTAAGCTGCACATCGATTCGCGTAACCCCCCTGCCGCGGCCGCGGGTTTTTTACGAGTTTGAAAGTCCACATGTTGGCAGGTATGCTTCTCAAGCAGGATCATGCCCGTGCCCGTGTCACTTTCATGCTTTGGGTTAGTAAAGCTAGGTGCGCTTCGCGCAAAGCCTATCACAGTGTCTTGTCTCGATCTGTATGTAACAGCAGCGTACGATTCATTATCGCGGTAGCAAACATCGATTTCTTTCTTGGATGACGGTGCCACGGTGCAATGTTGGTTTCGCGTCACTGCGGGGTGGCGAACAGGTTCGGTTCCTCCTAGCTGGCGTCTGCTCGTCGTCTCCCTCGTGTGGATGCGCTTGGGAGACAGACAAACCGCGGACACGTCGTCACGTGATTAATCTGTGCGCGATATGATGATATAATATAGATAAATAGCTCCATAGCTATATGCTCTGAGCTGTCCTAAAGCAATATAACACATGAAAACGACAAATTTATAAGCAATTTCATTTTCCTGCGTAGACACGCCCACTTTCATCTTAGAACATTTACAATTTCTTTTTGTACTTCACCTAGGTTAACAAAATTTGACAGAAATCTTCTCAACAGAAACAAGTCCTGTACATGTCATTTAAATCGGACAAGTGGTTCAAACATCCACATTTTTGGGATGTTTGAACATAAACATAGAAATGCATATACAATGCATCAAATGAAAGACAAGGTAAATAAGAAAAGTATTTTAATTAGGAATTTTTTTTATGGGAATGATTTTATTTAAATCATCATAGTAAAATCGGTGCGATATAAATCGCGACTTTAAATCATCTCGACTTTTATTCCCCGCACCAGTCATTAGGTGAAACGGAGTATGGCACCATACTATTTTAGCTAATATGAAAAACGCACATTGTCGTTACGGGGTCATACCGCTCCTTTGGTCGACGCCGAGACCGTTGGGCTTTTCTCGGCCGCCTCCAAGGGAGGGTTCCTCAAGATCGAGGTGTCGTTGGTGCCCGCCTCTCACCCTTCTCCTTTTGCTTCGCCAGGCCTCCAAGAAGAAGAAGAAGCGTGCCCCTCCGAAGAAGAAAGCGGCTGCTCCAGCCAAGGCCAAGAAGGCGCCCGCTAAGAAGGCCCCCAAGAAGGCCGCCGCAAAGAAGTCCAAGACAGGTGAGTCCCAGGGAGGGAAGCACCTCCACCCGCAGATGGTGGATGCGCAACCGCCACGACCTGAAGTGTGGTGTTCGCCCGTGTCCTGCAATCAACCGCTCTCCTCCATGCGTGCCGTCTATTGCTTTGAGCAGACGACGCTTCATTTTCAAGTTTGAAATTCTTTTAGGGCCCTTTCCGCGATCTCAAATTCTCTGAAACTGTGCAAGGTCGAAGAGAGCACGCAGTGAACTTTTGTGAGAGACCCCGAGGGGCCACGTCGCGCCGGTTCTGCGTCAAAGGTTGCCCTGGCGGAGTCGCAGCCAAAATTACGGTACACAGACACCAAACCCAGTTGTTTTTTGACCGTTTGACGATTTCCTTTTCGAAGTCTGAGAGGTCGTCGGGCGCCTAAAGAGAACTTCGTCGTATTCCCCGAATCACTGATCATTCTCAGTGCTACATGTGGCAAGCGCCGCGGCGCCGCCGTGTTTTCTGAGGTAGGCTTTAAAAAGCCAGGAGGCGACATCACTCTCAACTCGTATTTTTGGTATTTCGAAAAGAGGGGCCGTAGTGCTTTCGCGGTTTTGTTGAAAAACATGTTTTACGAATGCTGTTATTAAATATCGTAAAAAAGGTCACTTTTAAAGCTTCTAAATTTCATCATTTCTGACGTCTCCAAAAAAAAAAAAAAAGCAAGGATTTGAGAACAAAAAAAAAAAAAGATGTGTGTGTGGGGATATGTTTTTTTTTTCACATGGTATTTTTTTGCGTGTCCGACTTCAACTTGCATCGTCTTATACCCCCCCCCCCCCCCCCCTTTTAAAAAAAAATAAAATAATAATAATAATACGCCTCTTAAATCAACGCCGTCGCAGTTTACTGTCTGACATTGTTTTTACTTGCATTAACCAAAGCAGAGTTTTGCCATACTCGAGAAATAGAGTTTGTCTGGCCAATGGCGGAAGGGGGCCGGCCACGACAATGCTTTTGGTCGGGTGCATCGCCAGCAGGGGGTCTCCAACTTTTGGAAAGGGTCCGTCGAGGCTTTCGGAATGTTAGGGCAGCTTGTGACGCTTGGGTCTCGTCTTGCAGAAGTGAGTGACTCTGGCGAAGGTGAAGAAGACGACGATGACGCCGCCGCCGCCTCGGACAAGGAGCAGAACAACAACGTCGGTGGAGATGCCGAGGCTGCGGAGAACCACGCGGGCAAGGATGCAGCGGAGGAGGACGAGGAGGAGGAGGAGCAGCCCAAGGAGGAGGAGAAGAAGAAGTCCGAGCCCAAGAAGAAGAAGGCGGAGCCCAAGAAGAAGAAAGCGGAGTCCGAGGAGGAGAACGAGGACGAGGACAAGGAGGAAGATAAGAAGCCCAAGACCAAGCGTCCCACGGACGGCAAGGCTCCGCCCACGGTGAGAAAGAGGCGGGGCCGGGGCGCGGCGGTTGAAGCCAATGGGGTTGAGGCGTAAGACCTCGGCTCCATCCTCCCCTTCCTGTTGTCAGCTTGGTTCACTCCGCCGTAGTTTGTTGCAAGTTAAGTGGGTCAAGTCCCTCCTGTAAAGCTCCCCGTTTTGCCTGGGGTTGTTCTGTTCTCCGTTAAAGTACAAAAAGGGAAAGGCTTTGTGGAAGGAGATTGTGAGGCCTTCCTTATGCCGCAGCAGAGACTAGCCACGTTCGGGAAAGCGGCCAGTCGCCACTTAGCCCCTATATGTCTGGCTATTGAGGTTGAGATTTTATGTCTAGACATTGCCTGTGTTTGTTCCCTCATTTTTTTTATGACAATTCTTCGAATGTGAAACTTTGCTGTCCTCCGTTTGCGGAATGTGCTTTTAAATTGTTGTGTAGTAGTTTGTGTTCGAGATGTGTTGAGGTGTGGTGGTTAGCTTGTTTTATGTTGTTTGTTGGAGGAACCAATAAAGGAGGATGATGCTCTTTGGAGTCTTAGGCTTGCGCACATGATTGGTTTCTTTAATTGGAGCTCTTGAAACGTTTAGTTTTGTGCGGTAATAACCGTGTTTGCTATGGTAATGACATTTGCCTCGTGGCTGTGCTTTTTAGGTAGTGGTCCTGCCCACTTTTTCAAAATTTAATTTCACGTGGTGCGCAAGAACCTTTTTTTGACAGAACGGGAGCTCCGTGCGAGCACTATAAAGTTCCTATCTTTATGTTGCCTTTAAAAAAAAAATATTGTAGTTCTTTAACTGTGGACGATCAATAAGATGATGTGTTAAAGGGGAACACTGGTCTTCAAACTTTTTCCTTATTTCTTTTTTTACCAAGCCCAATGAAACAGCACAACCTTGTTCAAACTTTTGAGCTAATTTTTTTTTTTTTCGATTAGTAGGTTTTAAAAATAATAGGTAAAATATTTTGAAAAGAATGTTTCAACATATCTAGTATGTTAGTATTAGATAGTACAAATTATAAAAAATGCAATGTCAGAACTACTTTTTGGACTATTATTCGTGACATTACAACACACTGAAGTTCAGTGCTCAATGTGTGGCTACCAAGTAGTAAAACATATCAGTTAAAAACTTTTCCTACACCTATATTGAAAAATTTGCTTCCAACATTTAGCTAATATGGTGCTACAGAAGTTGCCTTTCTCTCTACCCTAGATGCTGAGATATCCCTCCTGAAAATTTGTAAGGAGTCCAAAATCTTTTTGTTTTGAGAAAATCTTGTTTTTGCATCAGCTTCAGTGCACTTTCAGCCCATATATATATTATAAATTAATATTATGGCTCAAATATTAATCCTGAAAGTAAGAAACTTGACAGATCAAAAGAGAAATAGCTGTATATTTCAATATTAACATGTTCAAAAAAATATTTTAGTGGATTTTTCTTGGCTTCAAGACCCTTAAAAACAAAACTTTTTTTTTTTTTTTTAATGTGCCAGAGAGTGGCATTAATCAGAAATTAAAGTAGTTATACATGTCGTGCATATTAAAAAATGTTAGCATTTTTCCTGGGAAAGTAGCCACATAGGTTTCAAGAACATCTGTTCCATAAATAAAAATAAACCCGCTAAGCATAAAAAAAATATATATATAAAGATTTAAAAAAAAAAAAAAAAAAGTTTGGCAGTTCCCAGAGTTTTTGACTCATCGAATAGCGTCCTCCAAGAAAGGTCTTTCGTTTCAATTGGTAAGGACATCATAACAGTGTTGGGGGAGAGGAGGAGGAGGATTAAAGAAGGGTTATAGTTGCTACAAATATTTAGTCATAATGACCTGGGGGTTATAAAACTGACATGCGCAGCTATTGACAAACCGGTGAAACTCGTTCTACGGACAAGAATAGCCACGAAGCAGTGGCGTCGTCTGCTGTAGTCCTTCCTCCGGGCTCGGTGTAAACAGATTTCTGAAAGTAACACGCTGAAACGAAAGGTGAAGGGAGTGGTTCATCTTTTGGTCTGTGTAACCGGTATAATTTTTACGCCCTCCGAGAGCAGAGAATTGTAGTAGAAGCCGGTGCAACTGTGTGTGGACGGAAAACCGTGGTGCATACGCCGGTTTGGGGAACGTATTGCAACGGATGCTATGTCGGCTGGAACTCTCTCACAATCGGTTGGAACAGCGAGTCATAGCCAAGCGCTGACGCCGCAGTCAAGTCCCTCGGTAGGTGGCGTAGAAAATTCAGACAGAATGACCCGTTTGTATTGGGTGGCATACTTGCAGCAGTGTCTACAAACTAAGTCGTTTTCCAACTTGTCCGGCGGGAGAAATTGCCGCTTTGCTGCGGTTGACGGGATTTTTGGCGGCGGTGCGTGTTTTTTGTTTCCTGAGTGGTCTGAAATGTTCTCCAGTTCGCATTTATCGATTGTAAATAGCTCGGGTAATTTCTGTGGTAAGTTGGAGTTGTGGGGTAGTTATTTTTGCTCCTCAAGAGAACTGTTGTCGGTGGGTAACCCTTGCGACACCATTGAGGTATTACTGTGGCAAACTTAGAAGCATGCTTTTAACCGTTTTGAAAGTCAATGATAATGAATTTGTAATCAAAGTCTGCCCAGTCGGACCAGTGAAATTCAGAAAAAAAAAAACAAGGGCTATATGATGTGTTTTTTTTTTTGGAAACGCGGGCTAAATTGCTCCTGTGAAAACTGCATCGCTTTCCACTTTCGCAGAGTAACACTGGAAAGGGAGGTCACCTCCTTTCTAGCATTTGCTCTGCTAAAGTGGAAAGGGGGGAGGGAGGGGTTAGTATTTTCCCCTATTAGCCTGTCCCCATCTATAGATCGAATCATATGACAATGCTATAAGGCCCATGCGGAATTTGACGACATTTAAAAAAATTGCTCAAGACTTGTTTTGAGGTTTTGGTTTCTTATCTGAGCACATCTCTGCACCTGTAATCTCACTTCCCATAGCCAAAACACTCAACTTGCGTGCATCACACTGGCACCGGCGTCAAAACGGCAGACCTCATTTGGCAATCCGGAGTCTTGTTTTTTAATCTGGTCTCGTCTATGTTTGATGCGTGGCGGTGCACATATGTTGCGGGTTTTGGTACCAGGGAGCGGGATTGCTGGTGCGGAGATGTGCTCCAATAAGAAACCAAAACCTAGCAAATGAAGCACTTTTGTTAAACTTCGTAAAATGCCGTGCATCTCTTACTTAGTGATTTGCATCAAGTTTCCCATTAAAATCATACCTTTAAAATAGGGGTGTGCAAATATATGAATTCGAATTGAATAGAAAGCTCCCGAATAATTCGATTTGCAAATTGAATTCCTAGTTATTTTCGTCGTCCTAGTATTTGGTCACTCGAATATTCAATATATTTGGCCAAAGACGCACAGTCCGCGTGGAGCTGACAAAAAAAGCCGTTTTTTCTCCCGATATTTGTGCCGTGATGTTGGACAGACCATTCGAAAAACAGCTCTTAGTCCTACCATTCCACAAAAATCTAACGCACAGGTTAGAAAAAAGAAAAGTAACGAACACCGGAAACTTTATAGCGCGCCGATTTACTTACGATCGTGACAATCTACCCTTGAATCACAACTGAAACATCCCGTTTGCGCCGCTTCCAGAGAGGAATCGTTGGGAGGCCGGAATCGCGCACCATGCCTAACTCTTTTCACGACTAAAGCCCCTCATTTCAAATTGAAGCGCCAATGTAAAACACACTTGGGCCGCACTCGCAGAAATCGGCGACTGCACAATCACAAAAAGAAAACCACGTTAACCACGCCGATGAAACCAGCAGAGTTATCGTCGTCGTTCTTTTGGAACCGCAAGCTGCAAATTCTGATTCGGAACGGAAAAATAGTGTGCCTAGATTTGAGATGGTTTCCAACCGTTCGATAGCCGTATTTGAATTATGAACTGCGAGAAGGTGACGAAAAGACGAAAGCGTCGATCGGGATCGGGCAGGGAGGGGAGGCGCCGTCACCCTTTTGTTTGCTTGCCTTTTCCCATGCGACAACACAACACATGCACACTTACGACCAATCTGCGCTGGAGCCGTCTCGGTGGTTTCAGTTCTGCTTGCTCCCTCTTTAAAATCAAGGCTCTCTAAAACAGGATAGATAGACGGAAAAATGGATGCATTGCGGCTGTTGGACGGTGTCTTGCACCACTAACCACGTTTTCTTTTTCTTACTTCGGATTATATTGTTTACGCCTGTTTACTCAGATTTAACACCTATCTGTTTATTTATGTGAATTAAAATCCTGGGTGCCCTTTTGCTTCCTTAAAATGGAAACCAAATATCGCAAAATGCCCCTTTTCTAGAATATAGAAATATTTATTAAAAAAGTTGCAATGTTAGGTTGTGCTTTTAACAAAAAAAAAAATGCATGCTTGGCTGTAACTTTGGTTTTTTTGTGACGTTTAGGGTAGATAGATTATATTTGTGCCATAAAATTGGATCTTTAGTGCCCAACAGCAACTGCTTTTTTTTTTTTTTTTTAACCTGAATTTTTTTACATTTTAGCTTTTGTTCCATACAAGATGCATATTCTGCACTATAATAATCTCATTCGCAGCACACTTTGAAAGATTCCTACAAATTAAATCACTTCAATATTCTATTTGACATTCGGCTTTTTTTTCTTGATTCAATTCGGTATTAGATTCGATAACTACTATTCGGTATTCGCACACCCCTACTTTAAAATTATTAATTAAAAACTTAAAAAGTAATTAATTACTCAAAGTAATAATTTTCCTTAATGAGCCCTTTGGCACAGACCACAACGGCATCAACCTTTTCTTTGTGATGCGTAGTTTTCTAAACGTTTCTTAGTAACTGCCACCATTATTTACAGTCGGGTTAATGATTTCCCCGTTACCTGGTGTCCTGTTGGGGGTAGTAACTAAAATTAGGCCTATTTGGGCAGAAACAGAGGGAGAAAAGGAGATGAGATCATGTGGGACGTCGGAACGCCGAGTTCTGGTTGGAATGATCAGTAGGCAGACGCAAAGCTAGCTGCTGTTGTCTTCAGTGCGCTTGTCGAGCGAGGCGTTTGGCGTCCGCGCTCAACGAGTGCAGTGGAGACAAGGGCAGCTAACTTTTTGTCTACCGTGCTAATCGCTTCCAACCAGAGCTGCGCATTGTGACGGCCCCGCATGCTCATTTCCTACTCTCCTCACCCAGTTTCTGCCCGCATAGCCAGGCTGCCTGGTTTATTTTTTTCTGCGAAGTGGGAAAAGAAACGGTTGGACATACTGCGTACGTATGTTAGGTGTAAAAAGTTCCGCTTGTCTCGGAAATTGCATCCTTGGTCGGAGCCGGTTTGTGCGTGGGAAACTTTTTTGGTGAAAGTTGGAAAGGTTCAGGGCGACGAGACGCCGGGCGAAGTCACAACTGAATTTCTGTGGTTTCTCTGACTCGCAAGACTCGAGCTTCAGACCCAACAATCGCCCTTTTTCAGTCATCTGCACTCGCAAAATCAGACGGGTCCATTGACTTTCCATACCTCTTTCGACTGTCACCATTAATGCTATGTTGTCCGGCATCAATTCCCTGACGTTCAGTTGTTTGAATTTGGTGTCTGCACTTCTACTGCATCTTACTGGGCACGTGTCATGTAAGTGACAAAAAACAAAGATGACAACTAAATAGGTTAAAATTCGAAAAGACCTGATAGTGTGGGCGAGGGAAAGGCACAAACTGACAGGAGCGAGTCCCATGTTTGTCCTTGTCTGCTGTCGGTCTCGAGCTTGCCTTTGGCTTTCCAAGAAAGTAGCTAAGGTCATCGACAGCCCAAGAGGTGCGGGGTGTGGCGGATTCCCAGCATCTCATTACTGCTCTGCAGTGAATCAGATTGCGGCCTTGGCCGATAGGAATGCCAAGGGCCAATTGCGAAGCAAGAATCTCGAACGCGATAAGTCACACTCCGCATTTTTTAGGCGCTTAGTGGCTGTACGGGCGTTAGGCCAAAAGAAATGCCCGCAGGTTCGTCGGGAGAAATCCAGACTGTGTGTTTCTTCTATTCCTTTTTTCTATTCTTTTTTAGGAAGATGACATTAAGGATTTGATCAAGAAGATTCTGGAGGGTGCAGACCTCGAAGAGATCACGATGAAGAAGGTCATCAACGCGGTAAGAATGGTTTTGCCTTTTTTTTTTTAGATGCGGAATGTGTTGCGTGGCCAGTTCCTGTAGTCACCGGTAGGATTCCCATTGATTCGGAGTCGTAGTCCGACGTAAAGGCCTGTTCACACACTTGTGACCGCTTAGAGTCGCGTGTCTCGAAACCTCGAGAGGATGTCGCAGCTCCCCAGGCCTTATGCTCTTCTAGCTGGAGCTTTTTGGTTAGACTGCTCAACAACCTACTGGACAAGCTGACTTCGGGATGTTTTCATTATAAAGATATAATGAAAAACTCATTTGCAACGCAATTTCATACTTCCCGGTTATTTTCTGACAGCATGTTGAGCGAGGCCATTTTTTTCTTAATGTATTTCCTTCGTTCCATGAGTTTTAGGAGGGAAATGGGAGGGTCAAGTTTGCACTCCTGTGGAAACGAAAATTGCCTTCCCCAGGCGATTTGGCTATTTAATAAGTGACGCCATCTGTGAGCAACTTTTCATTGTTGTTTCACAAACAAGGTCATCTTGGTGTCGCAGCGGGCTACCAGAAGGGGGGAAAAGGAGGGGGAGGGCAGTGTCACAGTGGGCGACTGCCCCGGGTGCCGCTGACCTTAGTGACGCCACTGGGCTGGACGGACGTTTATGTTGATTGCTGGCCGATCACGGGGCGGAAGTTCGCCAGTGGTGCCAGCCAGGTTTAAACCAATTGGTCTTTTCCGGACATGAAGGAGGTGAACTTCTACGAAAGCTGGAGAGCCGCGAGAAAGGGTGCGATTTTCGGCGGGGACTTGGCAAAGCAGCAATATATTTTGCATTAGCACTTCCTTTGCCACAAAAAATGTGGTAAAGGGGCAATTTTTCTTTACCCCTGACAACTTGCCAGTTTATTTCCTTCCAGCTGCCGTACATTTAATGGTTAATTGGTTTACTGAATTGCTTGCAGGTGTTCGAGGAGTACCCGGGCCACGACCTTTCGGATAAGAAAGAGTACATTAAGACGACGGTTAGATCGGTAAGTGCTGACCTTGTGTGCGACCTTGTTTGCAACATCTGTTAGGAAGAGGCCCCCTTTCATACGTGTGTGCCATTGAGTGGCTGCTGCGTCAATCGTACGGGACTGCCATAGTTTCGTCGCACACTTCACGCCCAAGAAATGGAAATCACCAATGTTGCTTCGGCAATTGCCACAGGCTCTTTTAAAAGGGTCTAGTGATGCAGCTTTAAAATTTACTGTAGAGGCCACTAGAAGCGGACAGCCTGTAGAGGGGGTTCAGCAAGTCGTGTGCTGCCACGCCTGTAAACTATCTCCGCCTGATTCCCGTTGTTTGCTTACGTGTAAACAATTCTTTAGTGGGAGACTACGCACACAACCAGTTCTTTACGGGGAGAACTCGGACGAGACTGAAGGCACCGCCTTGGCGCACGGACGAACGTAGGGCAATGGAAACGCAGAGTATTCACTTTTTCTGGTGCGAGTTGAAAGGTGGTGGCGACAGCATGCAAACGGGTCTCAAAGAATTTCGGTTCTGAACTAGACAGTGGGTTTTGCAGTGTTTGCGAAATCAGATCTATGCGCTGTATAGGGGAAACGATTGCTTATGCCACTGTTACGCATTTTCTGGTGAAAGAATGATACATAAGGAATCGGAAAATGCACCTGAACCAGAACTGTGTGAGAGTTCCCTAATAGAGGATGCCACGAGTTTGTGGCCAAACTGAAAAGGGCTAATAGGCTGCTGCCACAACTGTAACGCACTTGGGTCACTCGCAAGCGCGTTTGGAATGGTGGTTCGCTGCGTCTGCAATATGTGGCACTGGTTCCCTCATGCGAGTTCGCAGTAGGCTGCCACGTGTTGATTGCTCCTGCTTCTATCAAAGTTTGCTGCCGCACTTCGAAAGATCGTCCACCCCGTAGTTTATGCCATTGGATCTTCCGTCACTGTGGGTGTTCGGGATTTTGCTGTATTCACGTAATGAAAGCCTGCAGGTGGAAGTCAATCCTTCCCTAACTAAAGGCTACAAGATTGGCATATTTAAGAAACTAAAGATGAAACCACTAGAAATTGTCGTGCATTCCTGTTCCCGATTCCCGGGCAAGCACTGTCGCAGCCTTCTCCAAGCCCGGAGTTCTGTGTGGTTGGAATCAAGAAAACGTCTTACGACTTCTTGCAGTTTGTTTCGCGTTGTTTTGAGCATGGTGTCCACCCATCGTGGTACACTTATGGATGACGAACCTGTTGCCAAGTTTTCCGACCCTAGTTGTAATTTTTGGTTCCCTTTTTTTTCTTTTGCAGCTGATTTCGTGATTTGTTCGCCGCACCGGTCTCAAGTACGAGGAACCTATGTGTCAGGTTTTTTGTTTTTCTTCTCGACTGTGTACGTTGTTTTTACGGTTGGCCTTTCTTCGTGCTTGTGTCAGTCTACGCACACCCATTTCTTCCACCCCAGAGCCCTCCCCCACTGTGTCGCCTCTTTTTAAAAGAAAAAAAAAATACCGCTAGGGCAGATTTTAGAAGCACTTTTTTTTCGGCAACAACCAGCGTCTTCGGCAAGTCGTCCACAGAGTCTTCATCCACGACCGTTTCGTCGCAGAGGGCCAGAGTTTTTTTGTGAGTGGTGGCGGCAGCAACGACCTTGAACGCACAGTCGAAGGTCGTTTGTGTGCGAGAAAAACACCTTCATGTTGACAACTAGAAGTTAAAAATGAAAAAGGTGCAAGCAAGCCAGAACCTAGTTCCTGGATTTTTTTTTTTTTTCCATTTCGATTATTCGCAATCTTGTCGTTTGTTTTTATTGGTGTACAGTGCTGAGAGGCTGTTAGTATGAACGTGGGGTTTGTTTGTGCATGCGTTTATGCAAAGGAGACGCTAGCTGAAGCCACACGTTTGTGCCAGCAGATTCGGTGGTTGTTGTACACAGTGTGACGAGCGTAGATTTTTTAATAGCCTAGTTGCGAACGTTCCGTTTATTTGCGGTGTCCAATGTGTGCCATCCTGGATACCTGTAGAACAATCATTATTTGAGAAGGTTTTCGCACCTGTCGCTTGCTCCGCCCGTTTACGGTGTGCCGCGGTACTGTGAGGTTGAAGAGAAGTGCATTTCTCTCGTTTCTTCAAGACGTTTCGGACTCTGTTTTTTTCTTTGCCTTGTCGGAAGCAGTTGAATTGTTGGTTGACGGTTGATGAAACGACTGTGAATTTTAAGACACAAAATGAAAATAGTTATTTTTTCTTTTGCGGTGGGACAAAGGATTTGGCCGTAAGTGGACTCGTTTCGTTTTATCTATAAAATCATACTTTTAACTGAGGTTTCTTTTTTTTTTTGGTCGTGCAGGTTTTTTAAAATGTGGAACAGTTCTTTTCTCAAATTTGGCAGCCCTAGCCAAGTTTTTAAACAAGTGTAGCGTAGGTTTGAGCTTGCGCGACGGCGTCAACATTGAACGATTAGCATTGTTAAGACTGCAGCACTGGTTTCAAGGTGTTTTTTTAGGAAGCTAAGGAAATAATTTTTGAAGAAATGTTTTTCCCTGCTTGTTTTTTTTTTTTTTTTTTTTTTTCGCCCTCAAACACGCAATGCCATCTTGTGGAACACCGAAGAAGTGGTTTTGAGACAGTTGTTTTGATTGCATTGTACATAAACCATTTTTCATTGTTAGCATGCTGTTTACATGCAGCAGCAGAGCACTTGTAGACCCTTGTTCTTAATTATTTTTTATCGATCAGTGTGTACTTTTTCTGTAATGTGAAAGCTTCAGTGGTTTGACTGACCTATGTTTCGAGTGTATCGGCTCCACAAGCGGTTCCTGGCATAAAAATAATAAAAAAGTTCTTTTTTTTTTTTAAACAAAAGTTTTGCTTTTTGGTTACATTAAAGGTATGTTGCAACAATTTCTGAACTTTTAGTAAACACTGCTTAGAATGGATCCTCGATGTTCGTACCCCATGCAACCCGCGTTAGCTGCACTCTCCATGCAATGGCAGTCGTGGCTCCAAATTGGAAGGGGGCATGCAGAGTTCACACCCTCGACTCGTGGCCAGAAGAAACGGCCGCGTGATCTGGTGTCGATCATGCGCCGCCGTTGTTCATTGTAGTGTTTGGGTCGGCAAAGCACAGGCCAAGTGCCGAGTCCCAGACATTGGTAGAGTTTGGCTACTCCCGTTGCCATAGCGGTCGGGCACAGGTGGCTATTAGAATGCCCTTAGAGGCGTCGATTGCGAGTCCCAGTTGAGCGCTGGCGTCCAATCTACGACGAGCTGCCTTTGATTAGCGTCACCACGGCATGATGACTACGGTGGGTCTTGCAAGGTGGAGGTTGAAGGAAAGTCTGTTCTTTATCCTGGAGGTTAAACTACAACAAAGAAACTCGTTCAGCGGCGGTGTGTAGGGGCATCAATGTTGTGGAATGCGCCCCCCCCCCCCCCCTTTCCATTCAGATTCCTTCCGGGGAATTGGGGCCTCCAACAATTCCATTCTTTTCGACTCCTCGGAATGAAGACACTGGGTCTCATTCCCACTCCTGGAATGGTTGAAGTCCATCATTCTATTCTTAATGCCATAATGAAAAAAAAAAAAAAATGTCAATTGACAGCCACATTTTGTTACTGAAAAGAGCGGCATAATGCTGTTGCAAATGATCAAACACAGAGATGACTGATAAAAAGTATGCAAGAACTTCCTCTGAGCATTCATTCTACTAAGCCGGAGGATGGTCGCACGAAGCGCCTGGTGGCACTTGGTGTCCATGCAGACATCGATCAAGCATAAAAGGCTCGCGAGTCGCAACAGGCGCCAAAAATTAAAACCTCCCATTTCCTTTGCGAATGGACCCAATACCCTCAACAGATACACGATTAGCCTATTGATAAGGCCTTAGAAATGTCTGATGCGTGGCACGAGAAGCAGCTACCTTGCTCTCTGCTTTGAATACTTGCACAACAGCACCGCTAGTGCGCTCTTGGAAGCGACGCTGCATATGCCTGCCCCAAATCTCCACGCTCTGCAGCAAGAACAGAAAACCGTCGAGAAGGTGCAACCTGTTTACGGCGCCAGCACAAGGGAGTGAAGTACCATATGGAACCTGCCTTAAAACAGATTTCTATTTTTGCTGTACGATTCTTGTGATTTCTTGACATATTTTATCCAATTCTTTATTTGTCTTTTATGCAAACACTAGAAGATCAACTGGGTTAAAAGCAGAAAATCGAACTGGTCGTTGTTCGAGTCGGGTTCAGCAGCATTGTATTTTCTGGTTTGGTTCTGATCCAGTGATGCTTTTGAAATAACTTGGGTTATCAATTCTACCATGTGCAAACCAATTAAAACCGGTTCTTAAAAAAAAAAAAAAAAAAAAAAAGTTGTAAGGAACACAACACCCCAAAGGTCATATTCTCTTTGTTGTCTAAAATGAACCAAGTTGTACTCATAGACATGCAAAAATTTTCCCGTGTGTGCGCGAGTCTTTTTTTTTTTTTTTTTTTTTTTTTTTTTTGCATTTTCTTTCCCTTAAAGGGACACTGACAGGGTATTTATGCTCGCCGAGGTTTTTAGTTGTACGTGACATATGAGAGCTCAACTACCCAGAACAGAATTTGCGGCTCGAAATTCGGTTTCTTTCCGCCCGAAAACCGCCGATCAAGAACTGGCCGGTTCGAGTCTCGCTCACCCTCTTTCTCGCGGTCACGGGCCGTTTTCTAAGGTATCGATGCGACCACCAAATTTAATCAAAGTCGTGGGTCACTGAAAGCACACACTCAATATTAAAAATAGAAAAAAAAATATGAAACCCATTTTTTGTGGCTTCTAAAAAGCTGCAAATACGTTGATTGAAAAAAAAGTTCCACAGACAACCGGAAGCATTCTGTGCGTGCGTCGTTTCGCGTATCGTGGGACTCGCAGGGACGGCGATGGCAGCGGACGACGGGCGTGGGACCTCTATTGCAGAACTGTCGTTCGCGGTACCGGCGAATTTTGTCTGCCTTTAAAAGAGAAATTTGGGACTGGTCAAAAGAATTAGTATTCATCCCGTACGACACGCCCGACCACCAAGCCGATTTGCACGAAGACGTCGCCGAGCCGTCGCTCCCTTCTTGTGGCTGAAGACATCGCTCGCGCAAACGTCAAGCGCGACGTGTCTACTTCGACTGGAATATGCACGCGTACGATTTCTTTACTAGGTGAGAATGTCGCCAATGCGTGGTGCATCCCGACTTCGACCCGGGAGTGCTTTTGCTAGAGGAAAATCGGCAGCAAACTTTCCCACTTACAGTTTATCGGTTGAATTATTACTAAGGAAAGAGATACCCCAGTTTCGATGTGCCCCAGTAGCGCAGTGGGGAAGACGTCCCCATCACACGCGGTAGGACCAGGTTCGATCCCCCGTCCATTTTTTTTTTTTTTTTTCAAATATTCTCTGATGTCTACACTTCTTTTTTTTTTACAATTATCACTGAAGAAACAAAAAAACAATATAAGAAACAAATGTTGTGGACGACACGTCGCTGAAATAAATGGTATGAGATTTCCTTTTTGACACCTGCGAACTCAATGTAATCACTTTCCACAAAATGCAAGGAGCATATAAATCAGGTAGCGTCCGCTTTCCGAGGTGCCCGTAAATGGTCTACAGGAATTGCAGCCAGCCATTGGTCCCGATCCCGTTGATCTTTCGGAAACTGTCGCACAATTCCACTTCTGTTTCGGGCGCGGGACATGTGAGCCAGCTCTTCACGCAACATCTTGGGTGTATTCTTTTCGGAGCCGATCATGGAAATTCACCACGGGCACTCACTACTCATCTCCAACTCCTCAATGTACAAAACAACTCATCTTGGAGTACAGAACAACGAGCGGAACATACATAACTGCAAAAGAATCCCACGGCGACCAGTTCCCATACGCCGCATGTCGTCTGCTACCGGGAAGGAGAAAAAAAAAAAAAAAAAAAAAAAAACACGGTCGGGTGTAGCCACGTGACTTCCGCCACACACACTCTTCTCTCCACTTCTCCGACCTCCGTCGGGTTTCGGTTTCGATTTCGAGCAGTTGCGTCTTTTGGCTTTATTAAAAAAATACGCTACTCTGTTGCAAAATATTGCTTGGGTAGTCCTCCGACACCATAATGAAGCGCCTGGCAAAACATTAAAAAAATTTTTGGGGGTGTCAGTGTCCCTTTAAAGGGGTACTCCACCGATTTTTTGCGCTACCTCAACTAACTATATTTTCTGACTCCCCGGCCTTTACTCTCTCCGGTATGCTATTTAGAATCGTGAAATTCATAATAGATATTGTGAAATCGGCAAATGAAAATGATGCAAAAACCAAAATTCAAATATACGCGCGCTTTTCACTGCCGTTACATCAGTGGCAGGCAGGCTTGCCAGTCGAGCAAGCAGCCAAAAAATAGAATATGCTAATCATTTGTTCCGTGCTGGAGCGCGGGTACTGCAGCGAGCTTCCCAAGCATTCATTTGACACCATGAAACTGCTTCGAATCAGTTTAAAACAAAATCTAAAGCCCAAAGGGTGAACCCCTGCCTTCCACTAACGTCACGTTTTCATTCTTGCCAGTAGAGACTTCGAGCTTGAAAAACACGGTGTGGACCAAAACTGTAAATTCAGTAACTTCGCGAAAAAACAATATTTGGACCTAATATTTGGGATAATGTTTTCGCGATGTTTGTTGGTTAGTTTAGCAAAATTTCAAGCAAATCGGAGACAATGAAAAAACCTGTGGAGTGCCTCTTTAAAGGCCTGTCCAAACAGGATACTACAAAACTCACGACTCCGGCAAATCGTGCCGCGCTCCGCTTCCGGCCGTCGGGGGGAAATTTCCCTCCGTCAAAGCTCCCGGGGGGAAACTTCTCCCCGTCAAATCTCCCCCTCGCTTCCTCCACGGCAGCCTTGCTCTGCTCATCACGTGGGTCCGGAGAGCCACTCACACGCTTTGTTGGCTGTCGGTCAAACGCTCAAGACCTCCGCTCGGAATACGGAACCGCATCGGACGCCATCACGACGAAAGTGAATCTCGACAAAGAAAGCAGATCCGAGGCGGGCGAAACGCACCCTTCGACACAGGAATGTCCCAAATCCACCCAAGCCGGACCTCCTTGGCCTTCGAGCCGAGGCGACGGCGGTACGCGAGGGCATTGGCGAGGTGAGACAGACGCAGGTGGCGTGTGATGTCAATCTGACGAGGAGAGCAGTCGTGATCGTAAAAATTTGCACGACTCCGACAAATCGTAAAAATAGAAGCGTCCGCTTCAATTTTCACGATTTGTCGGAGTCGTGCGTTTTGTAGTGTCCTGTTTGGACACCCCTTTACCTCCTAGCTTTTTTTTATTTGTGACTTAATCAATTCTGAATTTTATAAGCGTCATTTTTATAATATTTAGTAACAGCATGCATTCATAAAACATGTCTTTTAACACATTTGCGAATGCACTACGGCCCTTTTCGAAATACGAAAATTGGAGTCCGGACTTATGTCGCCTCCTGGCTTTTTATCCTGCCTCGGAAAACGTGCACTGAGGATGGTCGATGAGTCGAGAAATGGGACAAACTTCTCTTGTTTAGGTGCCTGACAACTTCTTGAACTTCGAAAAGGAAATTGTCGAACAGTCAAAACGAACTGGGTTTGGTGTCTGTGTACTAGAGTTTCGGTTGTGACTGCCGGGGCAGCCTTTCACGCAGAACTCGTGCGACGTGGCCCCTCGCGTCACTCACTAAAGTCCACTGCGTGTTCTCTTCGATCTTGCAATGTTTCAAAGAATTTGAGATGACTTAAAGGGCACTAGAAGGAACTTCAAACTCGTAAGTGGAGTGTCGTCTGCTCGCAGCGGTAGGCGGCACACAGAGGAGAGCGGTTGATTGCAGGACGCAGGCGAACACGACACTTTGGGACGGTTCGGAGGCGTGAGAGAAATTTAAGTTGCAGGATGACTCGACCTTTGACGTCACTGCAATGGCGCGGATCGCGCTAAAACGTCCAGTATTGTGATTGCTGCGTTAATTGCTCCAAACTGAGCCGAAGGGCTAACCCTGCTACATCCTGCTACATTTTGCTAAAATATGGGTAATCTGCGCCAAGCCTGCACCAAAATAATTTTGGTCGCCTTTCAAAACCGAAACTAAACTGAGTACCGTAAGTAAGCACTCGTGAGTAGGGATGCCACAAACTTTTTTCGAATCGAAGTTGCGATGATCGAATCAAGCGGTTCGAAAGATTTCGAACTTTCCATATCGAGAAATTCGACGGAAGTCGAATTTTTGAACTTCTTAAACTAAGAAGTTCGACGCTTTTCGAATTTTCGAACTTATTATGCTGCAAAATTTTATGCTTGTCAAACTTTCAAACTTGATAGACTAAAAAATTCGATGATTTTCGAACTTCTTGCACTAAAAAGTTTGAAGCTTTTTGAACTTCCTACGCTAAGAAATTCAATAATTTTCGAACTTATTAATCTAAAGAATTTTAAAATTGTCGAACTCTCTATTCCTAAAAAGTCAAAAGTTCGTCGAACTTTGAAAGACCGGTGGGCGGTTTCATTTGGATTCAAGCAGTGAGGTATGTACATTCGTAATTTTTTCTTTCGCAATTTTACATGGGGTGCCGCATTCCTTGCGAAAGACAATGCCGTTTATTTCAATCATCTGGCATGCTTGGTTTTAGAAAAATAGATTCCCGAAGGAGCGAGGAAGGACGACGGGTTTTTGACAATTGTCGTTTGTGCCATATTTGAAGCGCGCTATAGCCGGAGCTATTTATGGTAGAGATGTTAAACTTTTTAAGAATGATCTATATATAGCCTAGGTGAGTGTCGTCTTAAAGGACACATGCAAAGGAAAAAAAACTTTTTTTAAACGGCTTAGATGGAAAAAGGACGCCATAAAACGATTTTACAACGAAGAAAAACAAGTTTTAGAGCTATATTTACAGCGCAAAACGAATTTGTAGTTGGCGCCCGCGGGCACCGCGGAAAAGTGGTCCGTATTTATCACGTGACTGGTCCTTATCACGTGGTGCTTGCGTTCTTCCGGAAGCTTCCTATGGCCTCTAAAAGTAACTTATTCATCTTTGTTTGAAGTATAACAAAAAACTAAGATGAATAAGTAACTTTTAGAGCCAAAGGAAACTCCTGAAAAAGCGCAAGCAGACGTGATAGACCTGTGCGCCGGTCAGACGACGGCGGCGGCGCCCCGAAGCAGATGAACTTGTGCGGCGGCGGCGACGGCGGCGGCGCCCCGAAGCAGACAAACCCTTGCGGCGGCGGCGGCGGCGTGGAGAAACGCGTTGAAGTGGCGTTCGCACAACGCTCAGCGTCCGGCGGCGACGCAGCGCGGCGGCGCGTGGGCCTACCACGTGACCAGCGGCGTCTCCCGCGAGTGCCAACTACAAATTCGTATAGCGCCGTAAATATAGCTCTAAAAAATTGTTTTCTTCGTTGTAAAATCGTTTTATGACATCCTTTTTCCATCTAAGCTGTCTAAAAAAATTTTTTTTCCTTTGCACGTGTCTTTTAAGATATGATTATTGTTGTTAGAGACAGAGTTTTGAATAAATATCCAAACGTACCTACGGACAATTATGCCCTGAACTCGGTAATTTTTTTCGCCTACAGGGTTTGGCGTATCGCATTTGCTATATGCTAAAACTGCCCATTAACATAATTGGCGTGTTTAGGGGTTTTATTTATCGCTCTATCAAAAACAAATATTTTAATATACCGTACATTCATTGTACCGTCTTATTTGCAACGTTGTGGCCCCTCTCGCCAAAACTGCCCGTTCTAAGCTCTCGTCACGAACGGCTGGCTAACACACACGCGCTTAAAATGCTTCGATCATTTCTTTGTTTGCTTTGTAATTACCTGAAAGCAAGTACGGGTATTCTGTCTTTTTAAAGTGATTGGAATAAATGGTCATGTCCCTTGTAAGAGCCTTAAAACGCGAACCCATTCTCGATTTGTATTGCTCGACATACCGTTGCGTGACGAGTTTTTTCCTACTTATGGCAAAGAATAGACTTTCCGTATTAGCGGGAGCGTTTTCCGTCACGTTGAGCACAGATTGAGCTGGCGGCCAAGCACAAGACCAGAAATCCGCAGCGTATGCGATACACAAAAAGTCCCTAGTGAAATTAAACATCCCGGTCCTTCGTGCAAGGCTGTTCCAAGGCGGGGACAATAATCCTTTTTTTAACGCGCTCATGTTTTTCTTTAAAACGGCTTCACGCATCAAGGCCGACAGTCCATGCCACTGTTTCTGCGCCGCCGCCGCCGCTGCCGTCCCCGCTCCTCTGGTTCTCCGTTCGTCCGCGAGAGAGCGAGCGGCGCGCTGGAGTTGCGAATAGTCGGGACGCGCTACCTGAAAGCAACAAGATTTTAAAAACATCACGCGCCGATCATTTTTTACTAAACTCCAATAAATTTCATACAAAAAGAGTCTTTTCCGTTTGTTTTTACGCAAAAACATGCATTCTGAAAGCTCAAGGTGACCACAGTGCAGACAAATGATAAAGAGTGTCGCTGTTGTCGTATTTAGCTCGGTCACGGTGGACGCCAGCGGCCCCAGTTTCGACGGCGAGTTTCCCAACTGAGTGTTTTAGTAACGTTGCCCGCAGCACTGCACGAAGTGAACTCCCCACCCGCTTGCATTCCACTAATATTCAACATTGCTTATGCGCAAAAAGTTATCCTGCCAATCGTATAGACACACTCGCACATACAAGCCGTTTTAAGAAAGCAAAAGTCGAGCACTTGTGTGAAGAATGTTGCACCGTTCGCCGGAAGTGCGCCTGACGGGCATGAACCCAAACCTTGCCAAACGAACGCAATTATTCAAAGCGCATTGGACGGTTGCTCATGGCGTTAATATTTGTTATGTGTTTGCTTTCTTCCTGACTATGCCGAGATAATTTCAGACACACCGTTCAGGCACAGATCTTGGGCGTCAGTAAAAGCTCGTTCAAAAAGGCTTAGCGAGGTGTAGGAGCCGATCTCAGCGTTTGCGAAAACTGAATCTTCTATCAGCATAAAATTTGAGTGCGAGATATGTGATGACACGAGGAAGACATCATAGTAACTTTGGTGCAGAAGTGAGGTCGAATTTATTGCGTTTACTTAAAAGTTCATGCGCCAACGCTGGGCTCAACCTTGATACTCCTGTGAGGATGCGGCTTGCTTTCTGCCTAATAAAGTAACAAGAAGCGGACGTTTGGCAAACAAAATACGTGTAGGGCTTAAGGTGATCAAATTTCAACTGTAGTTCACTGGTACTAAACGGGATTACTGACATTGAGCTCAAAGGTGCACTCGTGGGGTGAGGTGACGTCTTATTACGTTTGCATACGCACGCACAATATCCGGTGTTTCGGGAACCAAGGAAAGTGCCCGGTCTTCGTTTTGTACCGCTCCAGAATTAGTGTATTGTACATTCGTAAAAAGTCAGATAATTGAAAACGCAAGCAACGCGTTCGGTCGCGGCGTGATAACATGAGAGGAAGGTGCTCAGTCGAAACCGAAACTGAGTGACCAACTAGTTCCCAGAGTGCACTGCGTGGTATTTTGCTGCGATAAGGCGCGTCGGTTAAAAAAAAAAAAATCTATTGAGACGTCATTTTTTGTGAGGTGCGGTCACAAACAGGGGTGACAAGGGCATTTCAAACGGGCATTTCTCACAGGCGGCGTCCTCTCATAGGCAACGAGTTTTTTTACCGCAAACTCTTTGTTCCGGTAATGGTAAACGTTGACATTTTGGCATCTTGCTCGAACGACTGGGGCTGCGTTTTGACGGAGTTGGAGCTCCCCGCAATGTCTAGTTTACTTGAAGTACTTTTATTATGTACTTTACTTAACGGTAGCTCGTGGGGAGTTTTCAGCTCACTATATTTTGTGTACAGCATTGGTCAAAAGTGTGTAGCCTACTTCGCTCGTGGCTCCTGTGTTTTTGGCAGTCTAACGAAATATGCCTTTTATTCCGGAGTTTTGCTTTCCACGAATATCCAGAGCCTGTGAACATCGAACGCCGGCCGCCGCCGCCGGCAGTAAATATCCGGCGCGTCGACGCTCATTTGCCGTCGCCGCCGTTGCCAGTGACGCCAGTGACGCTCGCTCAACATGGCCGCCGTGGCTTCTGAAGCGAGGATGCAGGCTAAAACCACTGAAACGTCCGACGTTGGGAAGACGGCCGCGCACGGACAACGTGAGTGCAGTTTACGAAAGAGGTGACAGCCAGGTGGTTGTTCAGATGGCGCCGCAGAAAACGCTCGCAATGCAGCAGTGTACGCGAAGGCATAGCGCGAATGACTGAAGGCAGAGGCTGCTAGAACGTGCGAGGTGCATGGGTTGTGGAACCTGCCGCTTCGATCACGCATGTGGCAGGTTTGACGACTCACGCCTGCCCGTCTGTGTGGCAGCGGCATGGTTTGCTCGTTCGTGTTTTTGCATGGTTGTGGGAAAACTGGTTATGACAGGCAGCGCGTTAGCATGTCACTCAAAACTGTCACCAACTGCTTTTTTTTTTTTTTTTTTTTTTTCTTTCATAATTAGATTGCGTTTTTTTAGTGATGTGTGTTTAATAAAATAGCTTCCCCCACCAATTGCAAGAACGTGCGACAGCGCTAATACGCAGTTCCCGCTCCTGCGCAGCGGAGGGAAGCGGAGAAAGGGACGTGTTTATTCATGTTTATTACACCCCACCCTTTCCCCTTTTCCACGAGCGTTATTCTGTTACCTTCAACAAGCTCCTTACATCCTATGTACTACTCTTTCCATTTTATTTCTGTTCTTGAATATTCGAAAGCCTGCTTAAACAAATACCTTTTTTTTTTGTGTGTGTTCTGACACACCTCACTTTACTAAAAATCCGCTGTACCTTGCGTTTTTTTTTTTTTTCCTCTTTTTTTTATTTACCCATGACTATACATGCCTCATGCTGCCTGAACATGTTCGACCGGTGTTCTAAGCAATGCTGATTTAAATAGCACTGCTTCCTAGTGCTACTGCTGAAACTAGAAACAATCCTGCAAAACTGCAAAGTACATAAAAAAAACTTAAAAAAAAAAAAATTAAACCGTTTAATTGGGACATGCGTGTCAAAAAATAAATTTTATGCGAAAAAAAAAAAGTTTTTTTAGAGCAATATTGACAGCAAAATATTCATTTGAAATTCTGCACACAAAGTCCACAACGTCATGGAACGGTCATTTGCTCTTTCAACTTCAACAAGATGGTCATTCGCTCTTTCCACCTTAACATGAAGGCGAAGCCGATCCACCTCTCCTCTGCGCTTCTGAAATGCTGAGAGAAAACAACTGGACAGAAGGTGACTACCGGCTAAATTGCGTCTCACGCTGTTAAATTGCTCTAACAAAAAATTTTTCGTGTAAAATTAATTTTTTTACACTAACGTCCCAACCAAAATGTCTAATATATATATATATATATATATTGTAGCAGTAAGAAAGACAAGAAGAAGATAAGAAAGTGAAGCGGGCTCACGAGCCAAGGAGAAAAAGGAAGAACGTCGATCGGTCGCAGAATAAACCGCTACAATTTGGTGGCAGCGGTGGGATGCCGACTGAAACACGTCAAGGACTTGTGCCGTCAAGAGAGGAACTTTCCGGTGAGCCCTCTCCCTCGAGCCAGCTACGAGATGACACCAGTTCGCAGTCGAATGTGGCACCAATAGATGCTCAGACGACAGTGGTGACACACGGGGTTCTGGAAGGACTACTGGAGCGGCAAACGCAAGCAATCGTGGCCGCTACGCAGCAACGGTCAGACGATTTGATTGCAAAATATGCCGACATCTGTCAACGAATAGCTGCTTTGGAACCACTTGGGCAACCGCCACAACCAACAGTCGCCGCTACTCAGCAGACTCCTTCCCCAAACCAGACTGTCACTGCCCCATCTGCACAGCACCGTTTCAAGTTGAAGCCGTTCGATGGGGAAACCCCCTTGGATCTTTACCTACAGCAGGTCGACACAATTGCCGAGGCAAACCATTGGACCGAAGATGACAAGGCATGCGCTGTCATCGCCCAACTTGACGGTCCGGCACTCAGCGTACTCCACGCAATTTAAGGCACCCAGCTCACGTACACAGCATTAGTCGCAACCCTACGTGATCGTTTTGGTGACGACCACCTGCAACAAGCATACTACGCAGAGCTCCGGTCACGACGTCAACAATCAAGTGAGAGTTTACCGGAACTTTCTTCAAGTGTAGAACGCCTAACCTACAAATCCTTTCCGGGTGCTACGCCCGATACCTTAAATCGTGTCGGCACGGCCGCGTTCGTTTTCTGTTCCCTGTCCTTCTCGGTCACGTGAGTTCCATATCCGGTATGCGGGTCGGAAAAATAATAAAACATTTCAACCTGAAATATGTGAGAAAATATGGGTGAGGGAAAACAATAATGTGCGACAATCACGGATTTTTCGTAAGCACCTTCCAGCGGCGTGGAGAGGTCAAAACGATGTTTTACCGCATACCGGAAGTGACGACATTCAAGATGGCTGCGCCCTTGTGGAAAAGGTGTATAAGTGACCCCGAGGTTCAAAAGTTTGTTCGCCTGGCAAGACCGGACACAATACGCGCAGCTCTAGGCCACGCCATGGAAATGAGCGCTGCTCAGTGGGCCACCAATTGCACGCAACCGTCAACACCCCATGAAATCCAAGTACAAGCATCGTCAATCCCACAAGGGACACGCCCGCATGCTGCGTCTGCCCATTCACAGAGAAATGCCAATGGGTCGTGCTACCGATGCGGACGTCGCGGCCATTTTGCATTCGAATGCACTACTGCTTCTACCTCGTCGGGAAACGGCACATCCGGTCCCCTGGGGCAGGGCCGGATGTAAATGCTCAAAGACCCCTTGTATCACTTGCAAGCCAGCTAACATCAGTTCCTTTCAGGGTGTTGGAACGAAATGTTTTTCGTTCCGTTTTCATTTTCGTTCCGTACAAAAAAGTTCCGTTCCGTTTCCGCTCCGGAACGAATAATAAATGCTCCGTAACGGTTCGTAACGGTTTCTTTCTATGAAAAAAAAAATCGCAACAAAAATTAAAAGGAACGTAACGTTTATTTTTACACAAAAATAGATAATTCAGGCGCTCTAGAGGAATCCGCGGAAACGACATTGCTTCTGAGATCATGTTCATTGCCTTGAGAATGAGATCATGATCAAGGCACCGAGCATGATCTCAGAAGCAGCACGTCATCAAGTGTGCTCGGTGAAAGGCAAGACCTCTGGTCCGATAAAATAAATTTCAGCGCCGAGAAGGCCCTGAAGGCCCATAGGGATGAAGTACACTTTTGCAACAGAGTCTAAGACTGCCGTATCCGTAGAAAAACGAAAGATAGACTTCTACAACGCCGGGTCACAAACTTCCCGCGCTTGCCGTGATCTGTTGTCTGTCTGTGTCGTCAGAAGAAAGCATGGAGGAAGAGGGTGCAAGAGCCAAGGAGAGCATTGCGAGCGTGTGGAGGCGTCGCGCAACCGCGCTCTCATTGGTGGGAAGCAATGGCGCCTTGCGTCATGTTTTTTGTTTCTCGTTGTATTTTTTGTCTTTGTTTTTGCTATGCTTGTTCGCCCAGAGTTTAGACGCGGGAGCGATGGCTTGCTTGCCTTCTCTTCAATTATTGTACAAACCAACGGCTGTCTCTTCGCTGCGTGAAACGAATTACTGAAATACCTGATATTTTCCCTTGAACCGAAAACCGATAAGAAAATTTTTCGGTTTCACTCCGGAACAAAATAATAAATAACGTTTCGATTACGTTTCCGTTCCGCCCAAAAATATCGTTTTTTTCGTTTTTCGTTTTTGGTTTTCGTTTTGTTCCGATACCCTGGTTCCTTTGCATCCTGTACTGGTCGAGCACTTGGGGACTGTGGACGCACTTTTTGACACCGGGGCAGCTGTCAATGCTGTCGATAAGTCTTTACTTCCTTCAAACGTTGAGTTCTCTTCTGACTGCCCAGCACTATTCACGGCCCATGGTACTACCATACCAACTGCGGGAAAAGTTTGATTAAGCATCACAGTATTTGGTCGCACGTCCGTTGAAGAGTTTGTCGTAATACCAAATTGTGTCTGTCCCGTGATTCTTGGGTACAGTTGGTGTGCTAAAACCGGCTTGTTTTCTTTAAACGATTCTGCCGGTATTCAGGAGAGCCCACTTACGACTTGGCAACCGGATGCTCATGGTGCCTGTCACAGCTTTGCGCCATTTCGGTTGTTTTGGAATTATTTTATAAGCCTTTGGGCAATTTTTTTTTATTCTCTGCTTAGGTGGTTTTGTCGCAACTCCATGAACGTTTGGAGGTCATGTGCGTCTTGTGCGGTAGAGAGAATAAAAAGCTTACCGCATATCTTTCAAAAATCTACTTCGGTCCTTGAAAAAGAGACTTGGGACATACGCATTGCCGCTACGACGGTGATACAGCCAGAAACTGCCATATGGGTCAACGTGAAAGCAAACTCACCTCATCTAAACGGGGACATTGTCTATGAGGCATCGCGGATTTCGAGGCCTGATTGCGAAGTGGCAGCACCTCGAATGTTGACTACGTGCACTGGTGGTTGTTTCAGCATCCTGATGATGAACCTCGGGCGTACCCCTGCCAAGCTTAAACAAGGACACCGCGTCGGCGAGTCGCTTCTCTTTCGTTCGGCAGAGTTTTTAACAACAACGGTCGATCAAGCAAGACCACCAGCACAAGCTTCAAATCATCAGAGTAACCAGGTACCTTGGGAGATGTTTAACTTTGGGTCATCCCTCGACAAACATCAGGTTGACTTACTCAAGAGACTCATTACGACATACCGCACATGTGTGGCCCTTACTCCCGACAAACTGGGATGCACGCATCTTGTGGAACATAATATTGACACAGGTGAGCATGCTCCTATTCACCAGCCCTTGCGTCGACTGGCTCCCGTCGAATACGAAGTTATTCGAACACAAGTCGCTGACATGCTTAGTCAAGGGGTTGTCACACCATCCAACAGCCCGTGGTCGTCACCGGTTGTCCTGGTGCGTAAAAAAGATGGATCTATTCGTTTTTGTGTTGATTATAGAAAGATCAACAGCATCACAAAACAAGACGTGTACCCTTTACCCCATCTTGACGATTCGCTCGACAGACTACAAGGCGCCAGATACTTTACGACTCTTGACCTGTTATCCGGGTACTGGCAAGTTCCGTTGAACCCAGAGGATGCTGAAAAATCTGCATTTGTTACTCCCGCTGGACTTTATCAATTCACACGATTGCCATTTGGCCTTTGTAACGCTCCAGCTACATTCCAACGGCTTATATGGATAAGGTTTTAGGTCACCTCAAATGGACCATGGCACTAGTTTACCTTGACGACATTATTGTCTATGGTAGAACGTTCGAAGAACACAACCGGAGGCTCGAACTTGTTCTCGACGCACTCCATCAAGCGAACTTGCGGATCAAACCTCAAAAGTGTTTTTTAGGATTTGAAGAGGTTCTTCACCTTGGCCACGTCATCAGCAAAGACGGCATCAAACCCGACCCCGCGAAGCTAGAAGCGGTATCAAAGTACCCAAAGCCGACCCGCCTCTCTGAAGTAAAAAGCTTCCTCGGCTTTGCGTCTTACTTTCAGCGGTTCATTCCAGAATTCGCCAGTCGCGCAACACCCCTTACACGTCTTCTTCGTAAAAACAACCCTTGGCAATGGACCATAAGCGAGGAACGAGCTTTCAAGGATCTCAAAGAAAGTCTTCTTCAGGCACCAATTTTGGCCCATTTTGATCCGGAATTACCATCTTTCCTGCATACCGACGCTAGCGGAAATGGTCTGGGAGCTGTGCTGCTTCAAGAGCACCCCTCAACAACTACTCAGCGAGTCATCGCGTACGCCAGTCGTCGTCTCACAGATACGGAACAACGGTATCATTCGTCAGAACTGGAATGCCTTGCTCTCATCTGGGCTGTCCAACACATTCGGCCTTATTTATATGGTCATCATTTCACGGCCATTACAGACAATTCAGCGTTACTGTGGCTTCAAACGAAACGTGACCTTACTCCTAAGCTTGCTCGCTGGGCTCTACTACTTGAAGAATATCAGTTCGAAATCCGTCACCGTAGCGGGAAAGACCACACAGATGCTGATTTCCTCTCTCGTAACCCAGTAGCCCCAGCCGAAGAGGTAAACAAAGATGATGTTCAATTTTTCACACCTGTGTTTAACCTTGCAGAAAACCAAAGACAGGACTCAGAAGTTCAAGGCATTGTGTCACGGCTTCGGTCACCTCCATCGCATACGCCAGAGCGACGACTACGCCATGCCTATCGTATCCACCACGGCCTACTCTGCCATCGTGGATCTCAAGGTTGGGTGCCCTTTATACCCGTAAAATTACGTCCCGCTGTACTTCATCTCTGTCACGATGACCTGACCGCTGGACACCTTGGAAGAGATAAAACTGCTACGAAGATCTTAGAGCGTTACTGGTGGCCAGGAGTTCGCACGGACGTCGCCAAGTACACCGCGTCCTGCGTCAAATGTCAGTCTCGAAAACCTACGAACCCCACCATCAACTGTGGCGTCCAACCTGTTCCACTACCCGAAACACCATTCGAAATTATTGACATTGACCACCTCGGCCCATTTCCTTGTACGCCAGATGGCAACAAATACGTTCTGGTCGCCATTGACTACCTGAGTAAATGGGTAGAATTACGACCAGTTCCAAATACCGCGGTCGACCATGTTGTTCAGTTCCTACGACAACAAGTTATTCTTCGACACGGAGTCCCTCGGGTACTCGTAAGCGACCGCGCCTCGTGTTTCCTTTCTCGTCAATTTGTGAAGGAAACAGAACTACACGGTATCCATCACGCTCGGGCAGCTCCGTATCATCCGCAAACAAATGGGCTCGTTGAACGTGCCAACCGTACTATCAGCGGCATACTTGCAAGCTACGTCAACAACCAACACAATAATTGGGACCAACTTGTGCCTTACGCTGCTTTTGCCATGAACACTGCGGAGCAGTCAACGACCACGTTCACTCCTTTTAAAATTGTGTACGGACGCACGCCAGTTCTTCCAGGCGAAGCTGGGACCGATGCTGCTTGGCGACAGAGAACTGAAGAAATCTCGAGTAGTTCTGAGCACCGTTTGCGAGATGTGAGAACGAAAGCCCGAGACGCATTGTTACGGACTCAGCATTGAACTCAAGAACGCACTGCCCCAGACTCACCACCAACTCGTATACAGTCTGGAGACTGGGTTCTGGTGCGCCGACCGCTTAGAAAGAAAGGTCGCGCAGAGAAGTTTCTACCACGCTTTATAGGGCCTTGTGAAGTCCTTCAGCAACTAGGTCCTGTCACATTTCGTGTACGAGACTGCACTCGCAGTTCTAATCGTACAAAGGTCACATTCACGGCGCATCGCAGCCACCTTAGGCACTACACCTCTCGTTCATTGGAATTTTAGACACAAGAGCTCGACCCGTGACAATACCGTCAGTTCTCTAGGGGACGGGGGGGGGGGGGGGGGGGGGGGGGGGGGCGGGGGCGGGGGCGGGCGGCGGCGAGTGTAGCAGTAAGAAAGACAAGAAGAGAAGAAAGTGAAGCGGGCTCACGAGCCAAGGAGAAAAAGGAAGAACGTCGATCGGTCCCAGAATAAACCGCTACAATTTATATATATATATATATATATATATATATATATATATATTTTTTTTTTTTTTAATGAGTTGGGAGGGTATTGCATGCTGGCGATTTCTGAGGCTATGCTGGAAGTTATTTCATTAGCCATCCAGTACCAAGACTTGAATATGCCTAAATACAAGTGCAATGTTAGATGCTTGCAGCAACTCTGACAGTGCCACAACTGATTAAGAAGTCAGTATTTACAAAGTGGCTCAGTGTTTTGGTTGCTGTACTCTGTTTCATACTTAGTGTGCAACGCTGTCAAAGCTACTGGTGCGAGCATGGGGCTTGATCTCGTTGATCATTCGCACGCATTCTCGCGCAAACAAAACCATAGATGAAGCCACTCACTCGCTCCAGTAGCTTTGACAGCGTTGCACGCTAAGTATGAATTAGGGTCATAGCAGAGAGGGTAAAAGATAAAAAAAATACACTCCCCCTCTCACCCCGCATCTCGTCCGCACCCCCGAGTGGGCTGTAGCTAGCGTCCGGCTGGCGTGCAAACTTTGTTTAAAATCGCGTCATTTTGGAACTTTCAAGCGCAGATGCGCAGATTTTGGTATGCCAGTTGTCGTGTAATATTATGCTAGATAAAAAGACTCGCAGGGTCCAATTGCGCTGTTACCTGCGTGCAAATTAAAAAAAAAAAAAAAAAAATAGGGAAAACACTGTCAGATTGGCCGGTCTCTTTGGCGAAGAGTAAATCCGGTTGCTGTACCTTTTTTACTATACGAAAGTTCGTACTGGTGTGGGCCTTTCGCGACCATGCGTGGAAGTCTGAAATAATAAATAAAACGTGCTCTCCTGCCGCAATACAAGCAGTAGTTGAGGGTAGTACTGCCGGCTGACTCAAGTAACGGAAAAAAAATATATGCCCGTTGATCATTTAGTAAAATAGAACAACAGAAAGCTGTAGGATAATTTTGGAGTAGCCACAACTATTCTAAGAACGCGAACCACTTCACAACGGCAGCCACGAGCGAAAGTTCGATGTTCGGTAGAGCCCGCCGATACAGCCCAAAGATGGAGAACGGCAACCTCCCGGTTTGTCGTCTGCTAGCGGAGTCAGGCGCGTGCCCTCTCTCTCTTTTTACCCCGCCGAACCCGCTGAACTTCCCGGATGTGTGGAGAGGGCGCTGCGGGCGAACAAAATGGTGCCGCCCAGAGAGCGCTAAATGGAATGGTCCACAGGTGCATTAGTATGTACGGATCTATGGGACAAATCTTAGACCAAATTAGTGATGAATGGGTATCCTTTTGGGTTTCAAAACCACTTGTTGTGACATAATTTGGTAAAAAAAAATGAGATGGTACACCTGTGAAATGTCTGGGGGAATTTCCTGTGTGACAACATCTGTTGTATATAGCCTGCATATTTGCAAGAAAAAAAGTGCTAATTTAATTGCTGTTCTCCACATGAGTCGTCTTGAGCTGAAGGATGCCCAGGTGAACATACTTTATGATCAAATGCATGCTCCTTTGAGTCATTCTGACCAGGTCAGAGAGCTAATCCAGTATGTAATGGTGCCGGTTTGCTGCCCGGGACGTGTCAAGTTGTTTTATGCCCGGAGATTTGCACACAGTATTCATTACTGCATCAAAGTGTGTTAAGCATTTATCACAATCCTTGTCTTTTTTTATCTTTGTTTTTTATAATAGACATGGGGATGTCTATTTGTGTAGGTGATGAAGGTACATGCTCGAAGGAGATCAGCTGCCGACAGGAAATGACAACAGGCATTCTCTTCAAATGCTGTTTCTGCACCCATGTCACCGGCCATCAGCATGGAATCCTCAACCACCTGGTTGTCCATGGAGAGGAACAACAACTTGAGTGTCATCAGTGTCCAAATTCCCTTTCCGAAATGAAAGACTCGAGATGCCATACTAAGATTTATCAGTCAGAAGGATCTTTCGAGCGTCATCTGTGCCCAGCAACGTTTGGAGAAAATAGTCAACTGGTCAATCAGATTCAAATGCACATAGGTGAAAAGCCTTCCAAGTGTAAGCAGTGTTCCCAAGCCTTCACTTGGAATAAGCAGTTTAAATGTAGCAGCTGTCCAGCGGCTTTCGTCCAAAGTGCAGACTGTATAGCTCACATTCAAATGCACGCAGGCGAGAAACCTTACAAATGCGAGCATTGTTCTAAAGCGTTCAGTGCGCGTGCGACCCTGACGGAGCACATTCGAAGTCACACGGGCGAGAAACCTTACAAATGCGAGCAGTGTGCCGAAGCCTTTAGTGTGCGTAGGAACCTGACACAGCACACTCGAAGGCACACAGGCGAGAGGCCTTACAAATGTGAGCAATGTCCTGAAGCTTTTAGTGCACGTGCCACCCTCAGGCAGCACATTCGAAGGCACACAGGTGAAAGACCGTACAAATGCAAGCAATGCCCCAAAGCCTTCAGTGCACGTGCGACCCTGACACAGCACATTCGAACGCACACAGATGAGAGGTCTTTCAAATGCGAGATCTGTCTCCAAGCTTTTCGTCACGGTAATATGCTGACACGGCACATTCAAACACACACAGGTGAGAGACCCCACAAATGCGAGATATGTTCCAAAGCCTTTAGTGAACGTGCCACCCTCAGGCAGCACATTCGAAGTCACACGGGCGAGAGACCCTACCAATGTCTGAAATGTTCCAAAGCCTTTAGTGCGCGTGCAACCCTGACGCAGCACATGCGAACGCACACAGGCGAGAGACCTTACAAATGCGAGAAATGTTTCAAAGCCTTCACTACGCGTACATCCTTGAGGCAGCACATTCGAACGCACACGGGCGAGAGACCTTATGAATGTGAGCAATGTTCCAAAGCCTTTAGTACGCGTGCAACCCTTACACAGCATGCTCGAAGGCACACAGGTGAGAAACCTTTAAGACGCAAGCCATGTCCTGAAACGTAGGAACCTGGTGCAGCAGGCTCAAATGCTTGAGGGGTCATAGAATTGTATGTCCCGTAACTTGTCTGGGTCAGTCAGGTCAAGCAGAAAAATGTTACTTGCGGGAAAAAGAAAGAAAAGGACTGCAGGAATAGCTCTCACAGATGTTAGCAGCAAGTTTCAACTTGGTCGGCCATACAAACACACAGGCAGGGGGTCACCTGTTTGGACAGTTCGCTCAAGCCTTTCTATATTGTGCTGTTTTCTAGATGCACGAAGGTGTGTGAGAAGCAAAGGTGGATTTTGTAGACTATGCTTGTCTGGCATTGAATTAACGAAAAGGGCAAACAACCTTCACTGACTCATAGTTTGATAAATCCTGGCGTAATTTGTCTAAAAAGAAGCTGGGCTCTTCATAACTTTGCCTTCAATATTTGTTCTGGTGCCCGGGTACCCTTTAAAGTGCTGGCAAAAAGAAAAAAAACATTAAAAAAAACTACCTTTGTCCTTATTAATTTCAGTAAACTTTTTTTTTTTTTTTTTTTTTTTTTTTTTTCAGAAAAGAGCAGCGTCCGCGAAATGGTCTTTGAACTACAAATGAAGTTGTAGTCTCCTATCTCTTTCCATTGCAGCGGAGCAAACGGTGGAGAGAAGGTCGCTTCCACTCCAGGGTTCGCTCTACTAAAGTGGAAAAAGGTGGGAGGAGCTTCCACTTCGTTCTTGACCTGTCTCCGACTACAGCCATTTTACATTTGCCTGAAAGGAAGCCTAATGAAGTGTTGCAAATAATAAATGTGTCTAAACTCGGCCTTGATTTCTTGCTCTGACTCGCATGCTATTTTCGGGCGGGTATTGATACCCTCTACAGTATCGTTGGAGAGCTGAGTGAACAGACTTTCAGCGTTGCCGGTTTACTTCGGATCCAAACAGTGCAAACCCGGACAAAACGATCCCAAGCAAATTTTTGACATAATTTGCTTGTGTTTCGGGGGTTGTCGAATGTAATAGACTAATGTCGACATAATATGCACGTGCATATATTAAATAACGTGTCTAATATTTGATATAATCAACACGAGAAGAAAAACGTTCATAACACGCCATCATAAAAAATGTTTGACCTTCAGCGGCGACACTGGTTTACGCTGTAGACGAAACATTTTTCCAGTGTGTGCCACTGGCAGCGCAGTTGCAATACACGACTGCACACGCTATCAAAAATATGTGGTACATGCATGCTAATGTCAGACTCGTCGTGTGCATACATTTTGCAGCGCCATTGCGTTATTTAGAAATTCTAGAAAGTATGGTTGGATTTTCTCGAATTTTCTTCCCGCACCTGTAATTAAAGTTACAGTGCAACTGATGCTACGATTGATAGAACAAATCAAGCAGTGCTAAAAGCAAAACACACTAATGCAATTACCTTCCCTCATTCTAAAGTGAGGAAGAAAATTGTACCCTCCCTTCCCCCCCCCCCCCCCCAAAAAAAAAAAAATATTAGAAGTTGCCGTTTTTTTTTTATTTTTGGACATTGCATGCGTTCTGTGTGCTTGCGTGCGTGTGTGTTGTGTGTGTTTGCGCGCGCGCGGGGGTGGGTTTGGGGGGGGGGGGGGGGGGGAGCGCAAACCATTGTCTGAAAAGGGGAAGAGAAAGTTCTCTTTGTGCATGCCCTTTCCCTCTCAAAAGTTCTTTCCCCTCGCTTCAATTAGGTCGGGCGCGACACGTGACCATTCCCGTGCCATAATCTCGTGCGATTCGGTGGTCTGCTAAAAACCGGCGCCATCTTCGTGCGAGGCGTGCCGTTACTACCCGTACGGCGGCCCGGCCGTAGGTTATTGTTTTACCACAACCTCGGCGGCGACGCGGTGCCATCATGCTGCGCTGTACATTGTAGTACAAACAGCGTTGCGAGAGGGGAGAAGCTTTTTGTCGTCCCGACGGGAAATCAAAAATCGTCAGCGACGAAGACAATAGGGAGTTTCAATAGACAAGTGCTGATTGTTGGGCAAGTTGGTATGGTACTTCAGGAACATGATTGCGCTTTGAAGACGGGGACATAGGAAAAACAGACAGCACAGAGCGCTCTGTGGTGTCTGTTCTTCCTATGTCCCTCTCTTCAAAGCGCAATCATGTTTTCTAAAATTTTAATAGACCGTGTTTCCCCCTTGGCTATAGAGTTTTGAGTAGCGGAGGGGGAAACATGTTCTACTAATACTCGCTAATAGCCTCCCCCCCCGGGTCACTCGGAAAAGTTTCGAGTGCCTCCGAGGGAGACTTTGCGAGGTAAGTCATTGTAAACCTCTGGATCGTATTACCTGCCTCTTTCGGTCTCGCCGATGGAGATCGCCTAATACGACCATGAGACGAGACAAAACTAAATTACTCGCTTTCATTGAGTCGGCCGAGTTGAGAACGATTTATGAGAGACAGGCGCCACTAAATTGAAGAGGGTTGTGTTAGCGCGAGCATATTCCGTCGGTGAAAGGAGTGTCACAAACGATCGAACAGCTCGCGCTCTTGTTGTGCAACATATTTCCGCAATCGGCGAAGCAAACAAGGAGCTAAATGACCGTATTTCAGGAACAATTAATGCGACCTTTTGAGCAACAAAATGAGCCTCTCAGCTCTAACAGAAAGAGTATTTAGCTCGTTTACTGGCAATGCCTTTCCGACATGCCACGAAGTACACGAAAAGGTTGTGACAGTCTTTCTGCGAACGAGGATATACATTCTTGTGAAGTGTCGGAGTGGAACAAAAGCGAGCGGCGTCGAGGAAATCTGGTAGCAGATTTCCTTTACCATGAGAGAAGCAGTCACAAATGTGCAATTAATGTTTTTTTTTTTTCGAGGTGTTTTTTTTTTTTATTGATGTTTTTCTAGTAATTTGTGTAATAATAAAAAAAAAAGGTTTCGGATTCTTAGTTACAGCAGAACAGTATAATGTATGACGACATTCTGAACAAAAAGAGCTGTGTTGCTGTGCTTGGGATTTTTTTTTTTTTTAGGAGATTGTTCATGGTGAGAAATGTACAGTATAGTTACTTTGTTACGGATGTTTTTCTCGTTGAACAGGAGTGTTTCGTGAAAGGGCAACTAGGCCAGTGCAATATTTTGCCTCGTAGCAATAAATATTTTGTTGCATTCATCTTTTTATGTGATTTGACTTGTGATTAATGAAACATCATTGACAATAAAAAAAAAATTTCTCTTGTCTTTTGAAGGCTTTGCTGAGGATTTCTCTTTTTCTTGTTTGTAACTCACACACTAAGGTACTATCGCGGACATTATGAGCTGAAACGGCGCTCCGTCCTGTGCACGGTACCAGGGTGCCTTCATGTGCGCTTCGCCACGGTACTACCTGCACCGCCTGTCGCATCGCTTTGCAAACACGGTGCACCCTGAGGCCGAGATAAATTCTCACTTGCGCTCACTGCACCGCTGCGCTCATGGCTGTCTGCTAGCGAAAATATTGGTCGACGGAACAACAATCACGATGCGTCTGCTGTGCAGCCCAGTGTTCAGGTTTTAGCTAACATGCATTTCAATGCGTTTCAAGAAAGCGCCGAAGTGGAAAAATGCGTTGTCACGCCCGTACCTTTGCTATATCCCACCCTGGTAGGTAGTTTCAGGACGAATGTTTTATTAAACGCATATTCATTCGCTTCTCGATTGAATGATTATAACCTTTTTTTTTTTTTTCTTTTTACGTAAACAGTTTAGTGGCGTAAGCGAGGGCGATCGTGGCAGAGGGGTAGTTTGGAAATCGAACCCTTACTCGAGAGTGAGTGAGTGAACGACTTTATTGAACCAAATTACTAGGCCGCAAGGCCTAGTACCGTGGGTTCGGGATTAGGGGATGGGGAGTATGGGAGGGTTGACTCTTCTTTGTCGTAGTCGGGTTCTCAGCCGGTCTTCAATTTCTTGTGCCCGAGCGATGGCCGCTAGCTGGGTGTCCAGATCCTCGGCCGCCAGGATGGTCTCCCAGACAAGCGGCCCGTCGTCTTGCTCGGGTTGCAGCTCCCGTAAAGCAGCAGGCAGCAGGGCCCCCGGGCACTCCCAATAGGTGTGCCGCCAGAACCCGTCGCCGCTGCCACACTCCTCGCACCTCCCGCTGAAGAGGTCTGGCCAGGTCCTCTTCAGGATGTGGGGGGTAAGAGTGTTGCGGAGCTGCAGCTTCCTCCAGATGGTTTCCTGCTGTCGGGAAAGCCTCTTGTGGGACCCGGCCAGGGTCTTCCGTTGGAGCCGGAGGCCCCCCAGGAGCTCGCCATAGGTTACGGGGCCTCGGGTGCAGGGTGAGGCCCCGTAACTGTGGTCACCATTGATCGTGAAGAGGCCTGACTCCCTCGTGGCACGGTGATGAAGCGCGCGCACCACGAGTAAGTGGGCCATCTCGTTGCCTGTATGCCCAGAGTGTCCGGGCACCCAGGTCAACGCGTGTGTTGCGTCGTAGCTTGCGGGTCTTCTCTTGTATAGCAGGTGCGCGCCGCTCGTCCAATTCTTCCCCGACTCATGTTGAATAGAGCCGTTTTGGAGTCAGTTGTGATGGTAGCGATCTTTACACCCTGGAGCTCTGCTTGCATACGCGCCAGGGCCACAGCAGCTACTTCCGCTTCATCTATGTCCGTTGCCTTGCTTGTAGCAACCGTGTCACGTTGGGAGTTATGTACCGACCAAACTAATGGTGATCGCTACGCCGCCATTCCTCCCGCAGCGGCTACTCCGGGAACCGCACATCTGCACGCATAACCTCCGAGATCTCGAAGCGCACGCGCGAAGCGTTCGCGCGTTTCGGGATCTTGGAGGCCATGGTGAGGGTTTCCCGATTCTCTGCTCAGCGGGCACGGCGGAACTGCTCCTTCGGAGCTTCCGCGCCCCCAGGGACAAGAACAGCCGGTACCACGTGGTCTGGGTCCCCGCACACGCGGGCTACGAGGGAAACGAAGCTGCCCACTCTCTCGCATTCCGAGTAGCTACAAGCCGGGACTGTGAGGAGGAGGGAGGCATAGAATTCCCACTCGGGGAACATAGCTATGCGGCACCGGCAACGGAAGAAGCCCCAACGCGTTTCTGCGATGCCACACGAGTTGAAAGGGAGAGGAGACGTGTTCTCCCGCCACCACACCCCGGATTCAACCACCAGCAAGCCAGGCGATGGAGGCAACTTCAGACACTCGCCATCCAGACCCCACGATTCCTCCATAGAGTTCACCCCCTACTCCTCGATGGGTCCTGTACGAGATGCAGTGGTTCCGAAGACCCACCCCCGGATGGCACGATCGGACATATGTTTTGATCATGCCCGAAGTTTCACCCCCCCCCCCCCCCCCCCCCCCCCCCACTCACAGGAACTCCAAAGGCACCTCGATGACCGAGAAGACATCGTTCCTCACTACAGTCAGATGAGCTGCGTTCGCCCCCTTCAAGACGAACTCCGCAAGAGGCGCGCCCATTTGTTACGCAACCTTACCTTTACTTCCCCTAAATGCCCATCCCCTTTTCCCTTCCTACTGTCGAGCCCTTGTGCTGTATAGTTAGAGGGGCAGATGAGCCCAGCCCCTGTATGCACTGCGCTCAATAAAGCTGTGCAACCTACCTACCTACATCCGAGATCCCGAAGCGTGCGCGCGAAGCGTCCATGGTGAAGGTTTCCCGATTCTCCTGCTCAGCGGGCACGGCGGAACTGCTCGCTATCATGGCTCGCGAAATGTCACTTCCGAATGCAAACAACATTCTTCATTGCTGCAGTCGGTATGGGATTGTGCCTTATAAGTAGGGTTCCGCGTTTTCGGTTTCTATTTTTTCAAAATTCGGCGTACTTTTTTTGGTGTTTATTTTTAAAATGAATTTTCGGTTTTTTTCGGCGTATATTTATGCCCACAAAAGTTTATCGTCTTTTTTCGGTGAATATAAAATAAACACCAACGGACACTGCATCAGATGATCCTTCTAGCTCTGATATTTGTGATCACTCAAAGAATAACGGTACAGATACACTGAAAAATAAATGGTCACTTTATTTGGAAAATGTGTGCAACTGTAAAAGAAACAAGAAAAAAAATCAGAAGTACAAACAAGTCAGAAACGAGGCCTATGCCGAAAAAAAAAACATGGAACTTCACCTTCTGTACATCAGGATTATGTGATCTTATTATAGTGCACACACATGTACTTTTCCAGGTTCTCCTCGTTTATCCGCTCTTTTTCTTCTCTGTTAATATGACCCTGAGCTTCGAGAATGCCCTCTTCAAGCTGACACTGGCAGGCTGAGAAGATAAAGCACTGCCAGAGCCAAAATCGGCCAATCAACCAATTTTGACCGCCAAAAGAGACATGCTGCGACGTTTTGAAGCACAACACAACATGCAGAACTTCCACCAAGTCAGTCTTCCTTACAACGAGTTCGAAAACACGCTCGTACATGGCGAAGTAATGGTGCGTTTCGCACTTCACGTTCCGATTGATGATCGCATTAAACCAAAACGTCGTGATGGCACCATGTATCCCATACATTCGGACACGTTTCGATAGACACTGTCGTTCCACTTTTTCGCCACGGCTCTGCGGTACGACTGGAAGGTCAAAGCGACCTTTTCCGGTTAAAACTGAATTTTAAAAAAATGAATTCGACGTACTTTTATCGGTTTAAACCGAAAATGCCGAACCTAAAAATTTTTCCGCTAGATTTAGCGAGAAATTTTTTTCGCTAGATTTAGCGGGGAAATTTTTCCGCTAGGTTTAACGGGAAAAATTTCCGCTAGACTTAGCGGGGAATTTTTTCCGCTAAATCTAGCGGGGACATTTTTCCGCTAGATTTGGCGGGGAAAATTTTCCGCTAGATTTAGCGGGTTAATTTTTCCGCTAGATTTAGCGGGGCATTTTTCCCGCTAGATTTAGCGGAGAAATTTTTCCGCTAAATTTAGCGGAGAAATTTTTTCGCTAGATTTAGCGGAGAAATTTTTCCGCTAGATTTAGCGGGAAAATTTTTCCGCTAGATTTAGCGGGGAATTTTTTCCGCTAAATCTAGCGGGCAAAATTGTTCCGCTAGATTTAGCGGAGAAATTTTTTCGCTAGATTTAGCGGGGAAAACTGACCTTTTTCGGTTAAAACCAAATTTACAAAAATGGATTCGGCGCACTTTTATCGGTTTTTATCGGTTTAAACCGAAAACTCCGAACCCTACTTATAAGAGAGTTTCAGTATTGCGTATAGAAGCAAACGCAAGCGCTGTGTGTTTGCGTTAGAGTTGCGTGCTTCACGCTGCGTATCCGCGTCGTCGCCAAGCTCCAATCCAATACCGCAATTTGGGGCTCCGCGCACGCGCAGTGTGGAACACGCGACGCTAACACGCAGTGCTTGCGTTCGCTCGTATACGCAATATTGACACTCACTACTCTTTCACCGGTTTCCAACGCCAACGAAACGTGCTGCAGTGAGCAGACGTGCAAGCATGTACGCGTTCCTTCGAACTGGAAAAGGCTGCAATTGGCAAAACGACGAAACGTTCTAAAAGATTAATAATTTAAAAAATAAATAAATACATAATGTGATTCTTTTTTAAGCGGGGGGCAAGGGGGGAAAGGGGGGGGGGGGGGGGGGGTAATGCATTTGGTCCGGAAGGATAGGCGGCGACTTCGGAAGTTATGCCGATTGTCAAGAGTCGCGACTTACACACGATTAATGTAGTTTTACGTGGATTTCTCAGATTAGCTAGAACGTTTTCATTGATTTTAGGTTATATTTATTTTCTAACTTGTTAATTAAAAATGCTACAGTTGGCACCATGATAATGATTTGCACACTTTTGATTGTGATACTTGTTCGCGCACTTGAAATTAGATCATAAGCAACAAACTATATTAGAGCTTGAAAAACGATGTATGAAAATATCTTAATTGTATTATAATAAAGACCCCTGGAAAAAAAAGAGCTTTTTTTTCAACACTTTGGTTAAAACTTGGGACAGGCACGTAAAAAAAAAAAATAATTTTACGCGAAACAAAAATATTTAGAGCAATATTGACGGCGCAAGATTTATTCTAAATTTTGCGCGCAAATGGTCATACGCTCTCTTCACCTCAACGTGATGGCCAAGCCGATCGACCTCTCCTCCACGCGCCCCAAATGCCGAGAGAGAAAATAAGTGGAAAGGAGGTGACTACGGAAACATTAATTTTATTGACACGCGCGTCCCAACCAGACTGTTTAGATATTTTCTTTTTTTCGGGGTCTTTTTATACCAATTGCGGCAGTGAAGGCCCCCAATGAACGCCGCGATCACAAACATATGCTATTTAACAGAGTAGTCTTTCAAGATAGGTCTTGTTTTGTTTTCTTTTTAGCATACAAAAAACACTGACATCGTTATCAGGATAGACAAACAGTCAAACACTGGATCCAATATGGAATCCTCTACGTCACGTGTTCCAAAAAAAAAAAAAAAAAAAGACACTTCTACTGTCTGACTTGGATTCCGTCTTTGGGTTTTTGAAGTGAGAACAGTGTTTCTTAATTCATACGTTTCTTGAACATGTTCTGAACTCAAACAAACGCCCGCAGTTCATTATTTTTCATGACATTTATCTGAGCGAGAAAAGGTAGCAAGAACACACAAAATAAGGTTTCCGCGAACAACTTCTTTAGCTCAATAATTACGCTGTGACACATCTTGGGGTATGGAAGAATCCGAAAATAACATTTATACCAAGAAATTAAATCCAAAATGAAGGTTAGTTTCGGTTTCCTTCCAGAATTGAAAAAAAACAATAATTAAACAGTTTGGTTGGGACACGCGTGTCAAAAAAAAATAATAATAATGTTACGCGAAAAAACAAACAAACAAACAAACAAACATTCAGAGCAATATTGACGACGCGATTTCGTCAATAGTAACCTCCTTCCACTAGTTTTCTCTCTCGGCATTCCGGGCGCGTGGAGCAGAGGTGGATCGGCTTCGCCTTCACATCGATGTGGAAAGGTCGAATTACCAGAATTACCATTTCGTTGAGCAAATGACCATTCCGTGACGTCATGGATTTTGCGCCCAAAATTCCAAATAAATCTCTCGCCATCATTATTTCTCTAAAAGATATATATATATTTTTCGCGTACAATTTATTCCTCGCCACGCGTGTCCCACCCAAACTGTTAAAAGAAAAAAAAATATTTTAGGGGTTTTTCAAAACGTGCCTTTTATCATAAATATTACGCTAAACAGCGTTTCTGTTTTCAGGACAAATAGGTGAGCTCCGCTCATAACAGCCTAGCTCCCTGGTATAGGCAGGAATAATTTACGTCGCTCAGTGAAGCCAACACACTAAACAGGCTCAGCAATTCCGAACGCACCTCCGACCCTCACTAGAACCGCAATTTTGGGAAATGATCGGCGCCTCCTATAGGTGAATCGGAGTCGCAAATAGCGACGGTATCAGAAAATGATTTGAAACACTTTCTTGTAACAGTGCTCCGGAAGATGATATCTTCTCAGGAACGTTTCGGAAGTCAATGAAATGTCTTGTGCCACCCATTTTTTTTTTCTTAACTATTTAAACAAAGCCTTCGCTTGGGAAGTATCCTAACCAACTATCTCTAAACTTTCCAGTAAGTTGACTCCTTCAGCTCCAGTATCAGTAAACGCCTTTCACTCACGCAGTGTCCTACTCGATTGGCGTTCCGCCATTGTTAATTTCCTCTTCCAATCAGGTGATTCAACTAACCCGTCTAATTATCTCCCCATTTATCTCACCAGTGTACCCTCCAGATTGATAAAACACGTCATTTTTACTAACATCATGTCACACTTGGATCAGATAAGCTTTTTTCCTAATCCCACCCCCCCCCCCCCCCCCCCCAACACGGTTTCAGAAAAACAAACTACTCCTATAACACCCAGCTTTTTGAATTTGTCAATGACTTGCATGTTAATACGCAGGATAACAGACGGATATAATGTTTATTTATTTCGCCAAGGCGTTTGATAAGTACCTCACAAACGATTAATGTTAAAGCTTTCTCGCCTCCAAATTGACCCACCCGTAGTAAATTGGACTTCAGCCTTCATCGCCGACAAAACTCTATCCGTAATTATTAACAATGCAGTCTCCTGCCGGGTACCAATAATCTCTGGAGTACGTGCACTCCAGAGCAGCGTACGCGCACCGCTACTATTTTGGATATTTATTAATGACCTGCCATCAAACATTCAATTTTTATTTTATTTATTTATAAATACTGCTAGCTTCCTTTTGGAGGTTGTAACAGGAGGAGTCGGTATATTTTACTGCAACAGAAATTATACAAGAAAGTAATGAAATGTTGTGAATACACAATAATAATATAGAGATGCATGCAACAAACAGTAAAACGAAACAGAACTGTAAAAATTTGAACTGACAGCCTTCCAATGTTTTACAGCGAAGCTGTATATGACCCGTTGGTCGGATTTCTTCGTGTCGGCGTCCTCACAAAAACGAAAAAAAAAAAAAAAGCGATTGAAGCGAAAAGTGCATACATTCTTTGGAATCACGCATACAAAATACAGCTCAGCATTCGTTTCAATAAAGAACAAGCACAAAACAACCATCCGAACCACGTAATTGACAGGGCAGATCCCGATAACAATGCGAAGCACGTAGCGCTCACCGCATACGTTTTCCGGTAAAGATTACTGTTGCGCAAGCTGCCGCGGCGACGGCAGCTTGCGATGTGGGGAGTGGACGTCACTAGCCTTTCATATAGAAAAAAAGAACCAGCCTAGCAACTGATTCCATCGTTGTTGCAGCACCGCTATGGGTAGGCCACGCATAGTTAGGACTCCCGAGGAGCAGCGCGAATACGACGAGTGGCAAAGGGAAAAGAAACGGCATTACGACCGGCAGCGGCGTGCAGCCAAAATTGATGAACTTCGTTCCCAAGAGGCTCAGCGCAAGCGCCAAGCCAGGGAGGACCCGAATTTTCTTGCTCAAGAGGCTCAGCGCAAGCGTCAAGTAAGGCAGGACCCACTGGTTCGTGCCCCAGAGGCTCAGCGCAAGCGCCAAGCGCGGCAAGACAATCCAGAACTTCGCGAAGCAGAAAATGCAGCCAAAAGACGCAAGTACCACGAAAACAAACTTAAAAACTTCAAGGGAGCAGATACTAAATGTAAGAGACAATTTCTTGATCAAGAATTTGGATTTAGTTGTGCTGTAAGTGATGGATTGTGGTTCGAGTATGCTTTGACCCCAATTGCAAATGTCAGAGATAAAACAAAGAAAACAGCAGCAAGTTGAAGTGTTTTTGTTTTCTTCACCCGGTCGTTATCAGAAGCGGTTGTTCCACTCCAGTGGAAGATAGCAAAAGTCATTCCAGTTTACAGATCGGGGGATCCCTTATCATTAAACAACTATAGGCCCATATCTTTCCTATCGTCATATCGTGTTCGAGCATATATGTTTTCTTTAAAATCAATCATTTTTTTTTCTTCTTTCTTTTTTGTCGCGGTTAACATTGGTTTTGGCGTGGGCTTTCCACAAGTTGAAGTACCCAACTGATTGAAACGACGCATGACATCACTAAAATTCTGAACCGACAGGGACAAGTCCAGATTGTATTTATCGATTAGGGTACTCAAAAGTGTCCGATCGCGTTCGCATCTATCTTAAATGTCTTAAATGATTGAAGCATAACATCTTGGCTAAAAAATTACTTGGCTGCTCGTCTTTTTCTTTTTTTTCGCTGCTTTTGTTTCAGCCGATGTTTTGTCGGGTGTCCCCCGCGGCTCTGTCTTGAGACCGCTGTTATTTCTTATTATTAACAATGATGTTCAGAATTTCCTTGGTTTAGATATAAACTTTTAAGCTGATGACTGTATTTTATTCAGCGAAGTGAAACATATTAAGGATAAACGGTTACTTAACCTTTTGCTGTATAAATGCTGTCCGAGTAGTGGATAACTTGGTAACTTTAATATGGGGAAATGCGTAAATGACTTTTTCCAGGAAAGATTCCCCACTTAGTTTCCAATACCATGTTAATAACAACGCTCTATAAATTGTTTCAACAAACATAATGGAGTGCACTTTTCGTCTGATCTGAAGTGGAATGTACGCGTTTATTTTGTTGTTCGGCCAGCTCACGGTAAACTTTGGTATCTGAAACACAAATTCTTCGACCTGTTCTCAAATATGCCTCCCAGGTATGAGACCCTCCAGTACGGCTGTAAACATCGATAAGTTAGAAGCAGTACAGAGATATGCAATTCATTTACAATTAATTCAAACGAAACGAATCTCTGGCGTCACTTTGTGAGAAAGCCCAACTAGAGTTCCTATCCGCAAGGTGCCGTACAGCAAGGCTAAAGTTTTCATATATGCTACCGTCACGACTGGTCCGCGCTACGCGAAGCTTGCACAATAGGCCGCTGTTTCCGTATCTTTGTCGTACTGACTCTTTTTAATTTACCTTTTTTCCCCACGAAAGTACGGGTAAACTCGTTATAAGTCATATTACTTTTAAAAAGTCGGGGCTCCAATCCACGCTGTGAAGGTAGTTGGCCAGCGAAGCTCTGTCACCTGCAACGATTGCCCACTGACTGCACTATACCGAATGATTGACGAAAGAAAACTAAACGCACTGTACCAAAACCTTTTATATATGAAAGGCTAGTGATGTAAATCCCCACTTCGCAAGCCCCCGTCGCCGCGGCAGCTAGCTTGCGTAACAGTAATCTTAACCTGGAAGCGTATGCGGTGAGCGCTACTTGCTTCGCATTGTTATGAGGAGCGCCTTATCACCAATAATGTGGTTCGGATGCTTGTTTTGTACTTATTCTTCATTAAAACGAATGCTGTGCTGTATGTTGTATGCGTGATTACAACCTGGCATTTTACGGGGTTTCCTTGTGCCTTTTCAAACAGCCCCCCCCCCCCCCCCCCCCCCGAAGATGGCATCGGCCTGTTTAACTTGTAGACTGTATACTCAAGACCACCTTTAACCGGAATTTATTCTAAATCGCCATAAAAATGTGAGAAAACCAGCAAAAAAAGTAAATGCATGTTACTCTGTCCGGTTTCTTCCTCGTTTCCTTTCCAACGAAAACCCTTCAGGCATTTTAAGAATACCCCCTCCCCTATGTTATTCGAGTTCCCTGCACCCTTCAAGCGCAACGAAATCTGTAACTTTAACGGGCTCGCCTGTTTAATAACCGTTAAATGTCCCAAAGCCTTTCGTGAACTCAGAATGTAATATTATTTTTTTTTTATTAAAGGAAGGTTTGGTTTTGACAAAAGGATTTCTAATGACTGTTGTAAACGTTTTTGCTTGGTTACTAACTCCTCAGGCCTTCATGCCTAGGGACGTGGTCAATAAAGTGCGCATTTAAATTGCCTTCCGCGGGGAATGATTGGGAGCTGACGAGTATCCTTAAAGGGGTGATGCAGCAATTTCTCTACTTTCAGTAAATAATATTGAGAATTATTCCTTCACCTCCATAACCTATAAAACACGCTTTTTTTTTTTCTTTTTCTTCCACGCTGCGGTAGTCATAGTTAAAATTCGAGGAAAACGAGCAGTGTTCACCCCCTCAACTTGCAGACAGAACAGGCCACCATGTGATCTGGAGCCAATTATACGCCGCCAGTGTTTATCACAGTCACATTCTGGGGTTGGCAAAGCGCAGGGCACTCGCGCTGAGTTCCACACGTTGTCGAAGTTCGGCCATTCCCGTCATTGCAGCGATTGGGCACAAGCCACTACCCGAATGCATATTGAGGATTTGATTGTCACAAGTCCGAATCGAGTGCTCCCACGGTGCTCCTGTCCACTCTTTGTGCCGCATTTGAATCATACTCGCAACCATTAAACTCGCGAATTTTAAAGACTGGAATCTGCATCTACAGGTAATAGAAATATTCGCGCCCACCAAAGTTGGCGCATTTAACAATTCGCAAAAATTGGGGGCTCGCGAGCATTAAGGGTTTTACAGCATTGTCGGTGCGGGGATCGCAAAGCTTGACGACGAAATTCTAAGAATTGCGTTGTTGACAACGCCAATAAAGCGATCCTTAGGATTTCGTCACCAAGCAATTGCTATCCCCACAATTTCGTCGTCGCATTTCGCAAAAGAGAGTGAATAATAAAATAAAAGTCCGGTCGTATTCTTGAAATTATTTTTTATTTATTTATTTGAACATGCTATATTAGTCCTTTACGGGGCCAAGATACGGGTGGGATACAGTATATCATCCACTCAATGTTCATAACCGCTCAACAATCAGTCTGTGCTGCCTAGGCATTGCTGCTTTAAAAACTGTCACTTGGTGCATATAAAAAAAAAACACTCCTGCAAAGTTGCCAAACACTTAGAAGGAAGTGAGAAGAGCATTGTTAACTGGCAGTGTTTAAGGCTATTCCGGACTTCATGCCAGTATATTTGTTGCAAAGTCATAATGATTAAATATATTATTCTGCCACCAGCTGCCATCCAGCAGCTAGGTTTGAAATATATCAAAACGCAAGTGCAATGTCAGATGCTTGCGGCAACTTTGGCAGCAGCACAACTATATATATATATACTCTTCGTTAACTGTTTGTTAGGTGTAATAAAGTAGAAAGTTGGGCTAGTTGGTTTTGGTTATACATAATGACAAATACACAGCGCAAAAGGACAAAAGGACTGTTTGTTAGGTGCTTTATAATGGATGCATCTATGGAACAGGAATTTGACCAAAAGAACGGTGGATTGAAGATGACAGGATAACCTCTCCGGTATTGAAGCTACCTATAGTGAACTCCAATTTGGTAAACCATATACGATTTCGAGTTAGCTTGCGAGTGATTGGACACCTGTAAAATGTCTTCTAAGGAACTGCTGTCAAACTCTAAATGTACGCGAGCCCTTAATTTTCGCAAATTTCGTTAATTGAAAAATTTGCGACACTTAAGGGCACGCGAAAATTTTAGTCCTTAAGACTTTGAATGCAGGCGTCTGGAATTCGCAAAATTTGTTGGTCGCAATTATGTCCCATGTGACGGATTCGCGAAAAATAGGGGCCGCTAAAATAAAGGGTTTTACAGTATGTGGCAATTGCATATGACCAGCAAGTTCGCAAAAGTATAAGGAATGGCTGTTGGCCGCATGAACGTCGATTTCGAGCTGAAGGATGGCCAGCTGAACATACTTTCTGACCAAATGCACGCTCCTTCGTGTCATGTCGTAGCCATGTCCGAGTAACACAGTCCGTGTGTCTGGTTGCGCGGTTGCCGCACAAACATACATCGAGCAGTTTGACGCCCGGAGATTCGCACAACCTACCTATTACTGCATCAAAGTGTACCTCGTATTTGTGGTCATCCTCAATGCGGTTGTTTCTAATGCAGAATGTGTCGTATGACTGGCTCCTAGCAGTTTCCTGTGACAGATGTCCTGTAACACTCCTGTACTGCATCAACGTTTGGCGAGAGCTCGTGTCCTTGACGATGAAATCCGAGTCCCAGCGAACGCTGGCGCTGCATTCACGTCCGGTCTGCCCCGTGTCGGCTAAAGTAGAGAATCCAGCATGGCAGCCTTGTTATCTGGGAGCTTTGGAACGAGTGCACTCGTACATTTGGCAGGACAGTGTACAGGACGCGAGACGAAAAAGAGCAAGCGCCGCTTCGGAGGAAAGCTGGGATTCCCAAAATAGCAGGCCCAAAGCTGGAGTGTACGACCACAAGAGGTATGAACTTCGCGATCCAATCCCGCCGCAGCGCAAGCCATGGCAGAGGTTTCTTTTGGAGATGCTACCCTCGACGATTTCTGTGGTGTCGAGTGGGAAAACGCACACAAAGTCAATCTGTGCAGTAACACCGCAAAGAAACACAACGCGTTTTGTTATCGCTACCTTACCCGCAATAACAAAAAAGAACGTCGATTTTTTGTTTTTGGTATTTGTTTTTCGTAATAAACATGGGGATGTCTGTTTCTGCAGGTTGTGGGGGTGCCTGCTCGAGAGACGTCGGCTGCCTGCCGGAAACCAAAATCGAGAATCTCTTCAAGTGCTGTTTCTGTGCCCACGTCGTTGGGGACCAGCGTGGAATCCTCAATCACCTGTTTCTTCGGTGTGACGAACGACTTGAGTGCCAACTCTGTCCGGAATCCTTTTCCAAAGCGGAAGACTTGAGCTGCCACACCGAGATTCACAAGCCAGAAATAACTTTCGACCATCAACTGCGTTCAGCATCCTTTCAGAAACGCGGTCATCCGGCATATAACATTCGAGCCAACGAAGGAGAAAAACCTTTCAAATGCCAGGAAGGCCCTCAAGCATTTGCTCAAAGCGAGGGCTTGACCACCCACATGGAAATCCACGTCGGTGAGCAGCCTTACAGATGCCAGCAATGCCACAACACGTTTGCCAGTAGAAGTTATGCAAATCGCCGCATTCGAATCAACACAGGTGAGGAACCCTACGATTGTGAGCTGTGTCCCGTAGCCTTTACTTTCAGTGGGAATCTGAAGCGACACGTTCAGACGCACCTGGGTGAAAGACCTTACAAATGCGAGCAATGGCCCTGAGCCTTTTCCCAGAGTGGCTATCTCAGGCGGCACATTAGAATACACACAGAATGTAATCAATGCCCCCGAGCCTTTCGTTAGAGCTCGGCGCTGTCGCGGTACAATCAAACACACACGAATGAGAAACGTGACAAACGCAAGCAATGTTCCAAAGCCTATAGTCAAAAAAAAGTGAAAGCCGTTTACAAATCCCTGTAACGCCGAATTGGAGCGCAGCTCTTGAGGAGGAGGAGTGAAGGGTACTGAGGGGAGGGTAGACCCCCCCCCTTCTCCTCCTCCTCCCCTCATTCTTTAATATGCTCCGGGGGGGGGGTCACGTGACCTCGGGAAGGGGGGTGTCACGTGACTTCGGGGAGGGGGTAACGTGACCTCGGGGAGGCGTGACCTGGGGGTCACGTGACCTTGTTGTCACATGGGGGTCACCTCAAGGTAACGTGACCCCCAAGGTGACCCCCACGTGATTTCAGGGGGTCACGTGACCTGGAGGGGTCACGTGACCTCAGAGGGGTCACGTGGCCCATCTGAGGTCACGTGGGGACCTTGGGGTCACGTGACCTTGAGATGACCTTGGGAGGGGCCACATGACCTTGGGGGTCACGTGACCTCGGGGCCCACGTGACCTTGGGGAGGAGACCACGTGACCTCGGGGGTCACGTGACCTCAGAGGGGTCACGTGACCTCAGATGGGTCACGTGACTTGGGGGTCACGTGACCTGGGGGTCACGTGACCTTCAAAGGGTCACGTGACCTTGAGAAGACCTTGGGAGGGGTCACGTGACCTCGAGGGTCACGTGACCTTGGGGGTCACGTGGGGTCACGTGACCTTGAGATGACCTTGGGAGGGGTCATCCCAAGGTCACGTGACCTTGGGATGACCTTGGTTACGCCGACGCCGACGGCGACGGCGACGCCGACGCCGCTCAAGCCGGGAACGGGCCCCTAAGAGCTGCGCTCTAAAAGCAGCCTGATGTGCCATATTCGAAAGCACACAGTCAAGAGAACTTTGAGCAGTGTCCCCGAGTCTTCTCGAAGTTGAGGAGCTGATGGGGAACATTTGTGCGAACATGGGCGAGGGGCCTTGCAAACACGAGCGATGTTCAAAAGCGTGCATGGGACCATGAAGCAGCACATTCGAATGCGTGCTGCAGAAAAGCTGTCCTATATCGTCCGGGAGTCAGCCTAAACAAAACAATGCAACTTGTTTCGAAAAAAAAAAAGAAAAAAAGCAGCAGCCCAGAATGGTTTTTACCGATGTCAGCAGTCAGTGTTTCTCTGATTGGTCACATACAAAAGTGCCGACAAGGGCTCACCTTAGGGTGCCTTCATGTCCCATGAAGGCACTCTAGGTCACCTGTGTCGACAGTTCAAACAAGCCTTTCTCTGCAGTGCTGCTTCACAGACACGTGAAGGTGCGTGAGGAGCGGAGCTAAATTTATTACAGGTTGGTTGTTTATCCTTCAAATAATGCAGGTAGCAAACGCCCTTCACTGACTGTCAGAGTCTGATCAATTTCGGTGTTATCCTTCTGAAACACCTGGGTCTTGTTGGCTTCTTTTATATCCCGGTTTTTCTCATTTGTGTGGAACGAAGTGTTGCATGTAATAAATGTGTGTACAAACTCAGTTTCTCCTTTTTCTTGTCATGCCTCCTGGACTGGCTTTCGGGTTGTCTTCAGTGTTGTTACACAGCTGGGCCCACATCCATTCAACGTCTGGTGCCGTTTTAGCGGGAGACCTAAAATTCCGAGAGTTGGGGTTGCAAGAAATGGATTCTCAATCATTATAGTGATAGCGTAGTTCAGAACACCTTGTGGCAAACTTCTGAAGCTGCGAGAGTAGGTTAAAAGAAGGATTTCTGAAGTTGATAAGCCCGTGTGTAAAGATTGAAAAAAAAAAGTATAAACATTAGATAGTTTAATACCCAATTCGCACGGTCACCATAAAGGTACCTTTAACATAGGTCCCTTTGATATCGGCGAATCAGCCCGTGCTCTTAGGTCGCGAGCACACGCCACGCGCGGAAGATCGTTAATTGATTGACCGCAGAAAATAAAGGTCCCTTAGCTAAAGGTACCTTTACAGTTGTGTGAATGGGGTATTATATTTATTGAAAATGTGGAATAACAGCAGCGATCATTGTCGCAGAAAAGTGGAAACCGATTATCTCTTTGAACAAGATATGAAATAATAGCTCAATGTAAAAATACAACTTATGACCCTTTACACTTTAAACTAAACGATATACAGTTCACTCATCGCAATGCGAGCTGTATATACACCTTTCCGAAAACTGCTCCTAGGCCGCCGCCATGTTGCTGATGCTGATGCGGTTGGTGCGACTCTCGCGCCCTCTATCAGCTAGAAATTTTCTGCCACTCTCTGGGACTGTGAAGACCCGCTCAGCGCGGTTCTCTACCCACGTTTTTGCGGTTTTGCATTCGACGTTTTCTCGCCCCTCTTGAAAGTTTCCACTTAATTTTTTTTATGCGTGCTGCGTACCCTTTCTATGTCATCTTTCATTGTGAGAAATAAGACTTGTAAGTGCCTGCCAAAACGGAGGACGTGAAGGACGTCGAACGACCCTCGACGCGATTTTGCGAACATTGTTCTCCCCCCCTCCCAGAGATAATCCGCGTAAAATCCTCAGCCATCTCCAAAAACAGTTGTCCGGGTTGGAGTGAGAAACGGGTCAGTCACGTTTGTTTCTTTGCCTTGGTGCGGTTGTGAAAAAAGGAAGCTCTCCCCAAAACGTGCCCCAAAACGAAGTCATCCCGGATTCCGTCCGATCGTCAAGATGTGACTGTCGTCGACTGTGACTGTGTTATTTGAGATCTTTCTCAAATAAATTCGTTTCGGATAACGCTGCATCGTGTGGTACGTACGAATGTTAACACTTTCTCAATTGTATGTCCGTGTCCTGTCCATCGCTAAACACGTTATTTGTGAGCGTGAAAAATGCATGCCTTTCGGCCCTCTTCTGTAGCAATTTATTTTTGACAGCAAAGCGCTTTGTCGTTTCACATGCGGCGAATCCCGTGGTGCCGTCAAAACTTATCGCAAGAAAAAAACAAATAACTAGAACTATTCATTCCAGTCGCATTCGTTCTGTCGCGCGTGTACCCAACAAAAATAGTTTAGATTTTTTTTTTTTTTACTTTTTTTTTGTTTTTTTAAATGTGGCACAATGCTTCCTCAATGTCCTCGGGAAAATACATGTACCATGAAACACAAAATATAGTGGGAAAAGACGAGAATTTAGCCGCCAGCAGCGTTTGAAACTGCACCCACGCAGGCTGCGCCTATTGAAATCACAGTCCACTCGGTTAGGCTTAGGAGGGACGCCGGTGAGAGTCTAGCCTCAAACTCAGTGACTGGGCTCACAAAGGGTTTGTTGCCCCTGGGGTCGAGTGTTTTTTGGAAAGGTGTATTTGGGCCTATTTCTAAATTTCCTATGTTGAACCTTTTCACTTTTTAACAATAGAAGAAAAAAAAATCGCTTTTTCACATTGGTTGCTGAATGTTCCTCACTATCGCTCGAAAGACACGTTACAATCTTTAATGTAAGCGCAGTCGGTTGTGAGGTTAATTTACCCGCTAGTAAGCTGAAAGCGTGGAACACGCTTTCTTAGGGACATGAACCACCAAATATTTGTATTTTTCTACAAGGTATATTTCAATGTCTTGTATTTTCAGGGGTTCCCTCTTTTCGTGATTGAGCGCAATTACTGCAGACTTGTCACTGCTAAAACTCAGGCCCAAGCTGTCCCCTTCCTCTCCACATATTCCAGTTAATTTATATAGCTGCAGTTATATAAGTACTATGTCATCTGCGTACCCGCACGAAAATGTCAGATCGGAGTGGTTCCAGCTCGGATCCGCGTGGTTCTAGACGTGTGGACAGTTCAGATCCGCGCGACCCCGATCTGGTACCCGCGCTGTTCTGGGTGCAACCAGTCGGATCCAGTTTGGATCGCGAGGGTCTGCTCCCAGCTAGCGAGCGCGCACATGCGTGACTGGAGGAGGGGGTGGTGGGGTGGGGGGGGGGGGGGGGGGGGTCGGGTCGGCGGGGAACTTCTGCGGTCTCTCGTAGGTCACGTGTTAGGGATAGGCGCATCCGCTACGCAGGCGCTGCGAGCGGGCGTTCTATGCGCGCGCGCCTCGCTTTGTGTTGCAGTCGGCGGCAGCGCTCCCAGAGTTCAGGTTCTCTACTTTCTTCGGACTGTCGGGCGGCGCTCGCCCCCGCTGCGACGTTCGCGCTGCGGGCGCACGGATACTGACGCGCCCATTGTTTCC